TATAAATATTAACGAAAATGTTTCGTAAATATTTTTATGACCTTAGCTTCAATAGATTATAAATATTTTTATCATAAATATTATAAAAATATTTATTGAAATATATATATATTTATATACTTTTTTCTCTTTTCTAAACTTTTCTTAAATTTTTAAATTATATATGTTCTTAGTTTTTACTTTATATTGTTTCACACGCTGCTTTCAAATTCAAATTAAATTGTATTTCGAAAATTTGCTTATCCATTGCTGAGATTCGAACCTGAGACCTGTGATTCTGTGTCATTCACCTTACCTACAGCGTTACTGTCACTTCGACTGAGAGATACTTTGTGTTGTATACATATGGTATACATATGGTATTTATGTACGAAAATAAATGATTTATTTAAAAGAAGAGAATAGATCCTTACCTACAGCGTTACTGTCACTTCGACTGAGAGACGCTTTGTATTGTATACATATGGTATTTATGTACGAAAATAAATGATTTATTTAAAAGAAGAGAATAGATCCTTACCTACAGCGTTACTGTCACTTCGACTGAGAGACGCTTTGTATTGTATACATATGGTATTTATGTACGAAAATAAATGATTTATTTAAAAGAAGAGAATAGATCCTTACCTACAGCGTTACTGTCACTTCGACTGAGAGACGCTTTGTATTGTATACATATGGTATTTATGTACGAAAATAAATGATTTATTTAAAAGAAGAGAATAGATCCTTTTAAATGTAAAATGTATGTTTAAAAAGTAAAAATAATAAAAGTATAAATAATATATTTAAAAAATATTTACCTGTTTTAAAAGTAAGTAAAATACAAATAAATCATTTTGTAAATTTTTAATTGTTTTCTGATAATAAAAGAAACTTTAATTTGAAACACGCAAAAAAAATACTTTTAATATTAGAAAATAATTTATTTAAATTTGCAAAATGATTTACTTGTACCTTATTTACTTTTAAAACAAGCAAATATTTATTTAAACACAGTTTTTACGTAAAAGAAACTAATTTTCTTCTTGTAAGGAAATTTTTTTTTTTTGGAAATTCATAATTTTACAGCTCATTTTACAAATTTAAAAAAATATTACTTTATATTTATTACATTTTCTAAAATCTAACAAATATTTTTTTAAGCTAAGAAATTATATTTAACAAAATATGTCTCTTTGATTTAAGGAATTTTTTTCTGTATACATTACCAATTAAAATTTCGATTTTCTTATTCCTTCATTAATTTAATAGTTATAAATAATTACATTTATTTTTTATATATACTATTTATAGACATATTTACAAAATATTACTACAAATATTTATTTTTTATATATAAATAAATATTATATAAAATATTTAGCCTATATTTTAATAATATTTCGAATAAAGATTTTAATACTTTTTTCTTTATATATATAAATATTTATAAAATATCTATATAATATTTAAAAAAAATAATTCGTCATAAATATTTATGAATTTTTATCATAAATATTGTATACTATCTGGGCACATATACATATATTAGGTGGTTGCATGTGAAACCGTTCATTTTTGAGTGAAAGAAAAGACAATGGTTTGGTAGCAAATCGACGAACTGGTTTATTGTCCATCGGAACAGACAACCTTGGCCCATCTTTTGGCCAATAATCGGATTCCACGCAGGAAAAATTCAGATTCTTTGGAGGTAATCCAGTCATCCAGCCATTTTTTGATTCCTTCGTACGAGGCTGATTATGGTGCTGAACTTACGGTCTGGGGAGCGGTGCACTTGGACACGGTGCATTTGGACGCAGCCAATCACAGCACCGTGTGATTAGAGACATTTGTAGGGTCCCTTGGAACAGCGACTTGTGATTGGACTGTGTCCAATTGCCCCGTGTCCAACTGATATACACCCTACGATCTGAACTTAGTTCGGAGCGTACATGTACACGGGCAACTTTTGTATGCGTCATCCACTCTCAATACTACCGGTACTACTGGGCGAGATTACTGGCCACACTAAATCACCATTCTATTTTTTTCTAACAACACGTGGTGGGAACATTCCAACCTTTCCTTATGTTTAGAGTGGGAATTTACATTGGTTCTCCTACATAGTGGGTGCTTTCCAGTTGCGTATATTGTGTTACACAAAACAACAAAAGTTTATTGGTTGCATATTATCTTACAAGATATTTTAGATAATATGTGACCAATAAACTAATTTTGTGTATATGTGTGTCAAGATGTGTTAAGCAATTGAGCATCCAATATGTTTCCCTCGAAGTATCCTTATTACACACATAAAATACTTTATACACATATGAAATACTTTATTATTACAATATATCGATAATTATTTTAATACGTTCTATTATTTTTTCTCCTCCATATCTTCTAATTTCCCTTCATTCCTTTCTCACATTCTTCTTCTTATCTCCACTATGCGTCGTTAGAAAAAGACATGGTAATCCAAAGCATGCTATCTCTTTCTATTCTGTGACGCGATCAAGCTATAGGAAACATTGAGAACACCATATATGTTATACTATTATATGGACAGCGGAGAAATTTTCCTATAAGCAAGAGTAAATCACAGATGTCTATACTAAACTAGATTGCTAACAAAGGCTTCGAAAGTGTGTCGCGTAAGGTTTCCGGTTGCATGCGAGAAAATGGCGGTGGTCCTATGTGTGACGTTGTGCGTGTGACATGTCACTTGTATGAGTACTTACAACGTACAATGTGAGTCAGCAACCATTAAATTATTGTCGTAAAACCAAAAATGCCAGTATCTTCCCAATCAGAAGTCAATATTTTTAAAATGTTTCTAGCTTAAACCTGGCCACACATACTTTCCGTAATAGTAACCGTAAGACGTAATGTAATAATTAACCAATCATGTTGAGTATCGTCGAATCGTAAAGTCGTCATTTTTATGAATACTTGATCGTAAATGGTCAATTCTTACGTTACGACTTACGGTTACTGTTACGAAAAGTATGTGTGGCTCAGGGTTGGCACGTATTATACTGAGATATTATACATTATATTATACACTGTATTGTACAGTATAATACATTTAGTTTTATACATATTATATTTCCTGTGGCGCCATCTCTGCATCATGTGTGTAGTTAATTTTAACTGCGTCCGGTATTCACAGCCAGTATTGAAAATCTATAGTTTATGTCACGTATACTATAGATTTTCAGTATTTGCAGTAAATATCAGAATGCAGACTTTATAAGGAATTTGCTAGCATCATTACTATTATTCTAAGTTCCATATTTTGAACTCTCTTTTATCACTAAAAGCGTTTCTAAAAGTAGCTGATAGCCAATCACAAAGCTTATAAAGCCATTTTTAGAGGTGCTTTTATCAAGTCTGTTCTTTTTGACTGCACTGTTGCACTGGTGCAATAAGCGTGAGACAAACATATATTTGTCTCACTCCAACTTATTTCAGCAGTACAGGGTTCCTATTCTTGAAATTTTTGCGTATACGTAATTTTCATTGCGCAGCTTTTTTATGGTATGATTAAACCTGTGTAGTAAAATTTACTTATACACAACTATTTCAAGAATAGGGGCCCAGGACTGCATTTAGAAATCCTACTCGATTAGTAGAGTAACATTTAAAAAGGAGATCCGTTCTTTTAGCTGAATTGCCTGAACTAGTGCAACAAGTGCAATAAGTTAGGGCGCATTCGCCTTGGCAGAAAGCAGAAAGATAAAAAATCAATCAGAACTTGCGCTCGTAGAAAAACAAAACTATCAACTACGTAGATGATAATCAACAGTTTCTGTTTTTGTATTAATCTTAGATATTATACGTTTTATGCATTTTTATACGTATTATATGTATTTTACCGTATAATGTAAAAAACTTTAGAAAATGCTCGAAAAGCCCAACTCTGGTGTGGCTAGCTTTACACGTAGAAAAATTTTAACCGTAACTGTAAGGTCGTAAAAAAACTGACCAATCACAGTCGATTATTCCTCGAACGCAAGAAGAATAATCAATTCTGATTGGTATTATTTAAAATACCGTCATTTGAGGTAACTTGGAACATCAGGGTAACTTTGAACAATTTGCAATGGCTTACAAAAACATGTGGTATCATTAAACGGATAGAGGTAGAACTTTCATATCAGCGATATAAAAGTTACCCCAAATGACGGTATATTATTGTCCTTGAAATAAAATAATTTTTGTCAATTTATGTCTGATATATTGACATTTTTGGCTTATTAATTTCCCCTCATAATTCATAACAATTTTAACATAATTTTCTATAATTAATTTTGTTATAAAGTATTTGTGATTTTCAAGAAAGTCTAATTCTTTTTATTACTTCTACTATACTATTATATCTTTCCAATACGTATCACTATGTGATACGCGGATATTAGAAGCGTTTACGTTGCTAACTCTATTTTGCTCTACTGAGTTCCTTCTTTTGCCGTTGTTTTGCCCTGGCGGCGCTACAGATGTTGACAGACGCTTAGAATCGTCGCTAGTATGGTTATATAGGCATGGTTTACATCGTGCACTTGATACGCGTACTAAATAGTAACTTTCTATTAGATAATCTTAATATCGACAATGCATGTCAACAGCGACGCATTCTATCAATACAATACATTTCGTTGATGAGTATTATATCAGCTTAATATACCGTTGTTTATATATATCATCGATATTAAGATTATCTAATAGAACATTACTATTTAGTACGCGTATCAAGTGCACGATGTAAACTAAGTCAAAGGTGCTTCCCGTTTAAAGCTCTATGCACAATGCCAGGCAATAGGCAATAGCAATAGGCATTAGCCAATAGGAATAGGGAATAGAAATAATTGACCAATCCGAATTCCTATTCTCTGTTCCTATTGGGGTGCGTTCCAAAATTCAATTTTGGTTACCATAGTTCTATATTTCATGTTACGTATACTATAGAAAATGGTAACCAAGGTTGAATTTTGGAACACTTGCCTTGACTGTTGCCTGGCATTGTGTATAGAGCGTTACTTTATAACTTCGCTATCGTTTTTTTAATTAAAATCTAGCTAGTTAAATGAAAAATAAAATGATTATTTAATTTTCAACTTTATTTGTCAATTAAGTTTTTATATCGATAAATTATTTATATAAAAGGTGTTTTCAGCTTTACACTTATTTTTACTGAACATTGTACACTGACTTATTCACTTTCTGCAAGTGATCAAAGCTAAAAAGGTTTTTATTTTAATATTAAATAACTCTATTAAACAATTGCACCACAATCTATGAGTAAAACAGAAAGTTTGCACTTTTAAACAATGTAAGTATCGCTTATATATGATTTTTTATTTATACTGTGCAACTTGACAAATTTCGTAAAAAATGTTATATTTGACGGATTTTTATATTTGTATAACTTCGTAAAAATCAAATAAATTTTTTATTTGAAAATATATTTAAAAACTAGAGATTTCAAGCTATAATATGTTTCATTGAATTATTTTATTATTATTACTTTTGCGGAAATTTGCGGAACAATCTATTAAATTTTGTCTATCTTTCATCATTGAAAGGAATAATTTCTTAATTATATTTATTTATTTAATTAAAAAGATCATTATTCTACAGAATAAAACTCTGAAAAATAAATTAAAAATAAATTCCATTACATATTTAGTGCGTTACAAAACTTATTGAAAAGATTGTATCTACAGCTTTTTGCTTCCGATTAGTCACTGCCAGCAACGTGTTGTGTACGATTGAATGAGGTTAGTTTAAACTTGTCAATGTGAGATACTATTTAATATTTTAAGATTTATTTCTACGAAATCTTAATTAGGAGATTTGTAAAAATAAAAAGAAGAAAGTGTGATATTGTGAATCGAAGGGAGTCAATATTTTAGACAGAAAGATAAAAGCAGGAGACGAAATAAAAGGTTATGTCTCGTGTGAATTTTTAAGTTGTGCCGGCCCATATCCGTTATGGATATTATGTATCTAAGATGTAACAAAATTTAATATTTATGTATTGAATTTTGAACAACTACATACTCTTGGACGGCAAGATGAAGTTAGTAAAACCGAATTGGGTTACTCATGATGGTTTGTATTTTTATGCTATATTATCCATTGTTATATGCTTAGAATAGATCTAACGTTAATGTTTTCACCAGGATATCCAATATTCTCATTTAATAGCATTTTATGCTATTCTAATTTATAGCATTTTATGCTATATTATCCATTGTTATATGCTTAGAATAGATCTAACGTTAATGTTTTCACCAGGATATCCAATATTCTCATTTAATAGCATTTTATGCTATTCTAATTTATAGCATTTTATGCTATATTATCCATTGTTATATGCTTAGAATAGATCTAACGTTAATGTTTTCACCAGGATATCCAATATTCTCATTTAATAGCATTTTATGCTATTCTAATTTATAGCATTTTATGCTATATTATCCATTGTTATATGCTTAGAATAGATCTAACGTTAATGTTTTCACCAGGATATCCAATATTCTCATTTAATAGCATTTTATGCTATTCTAATTTATAGCATTTTATGCTATATTATCCATTGTTATATGCTTAGAATAGATCTAACGTTAATGTTTTCACCAGGATATCCAATATTCTCCATTGATATACATCCTGATGGGAAAAGATTTGCCACTGGTGGACAAGGTATATTTATATAATATTGTCGATTTTTATATTAATGTATCTAAATTTTTTTTAACGAGAATACTAAGTAGATATATTTCTGAATAATATATGTGTGAATAAAATTTTTGTTAAAATTTATCTTTGTATTTTTGAATTTTTCTTTTTATTATTAGGCGGTGATTCTGGAAGAGTTGTTATATGGAACATGGAACCTGTGGTTGATGAGACTGCTGAATTAGATACAAATGTTCCAAAAATGCTTTGCCAGCTCGACAATCACCTTGGTAAAGACCTCTTTTATTTTTCATATGTATTAAAAGTTGATCTACATGTAACACCTTGTATATTTTGTATAGCTTGTGTGAATTGTGTAAGATGGAGCAATAGTGGATTACTAGCATCGGGTGGTGTAGATAAGCTGATTATGATTTGGAGATTATCTGGTGGATCCGGTGGAAGTTCTATTTTTGGTGGAAAAGCCAGTGTGGAGACTTGGAGGTGTATAGCGACATTGCGCTCTCATGAAGCTGATGTGTTAGATCTAGCATGGGCCCCACATAGTCCATGGTTGGCTTCAGCTTCAGTTGACAACAGCGTAATTGTATGGGATGCATCAAAATTCCCTGCTGTAGTTGCTGTACTGAAAGGCCATACTGGTTTTGTGAAAGGGATCACTTGGGACCCAGTGGGTAAATATTTGGCATCTCAATCTGATGACAAGACGTTGAGAGTATGGCGTACTACGGATTGGACAGAGGCAGCATTAATATCCGAACCTTTCGACGAATGTGGTGGAACAACTCATGTTCTAAGACTTTCGTGGAGTCCGGATGGACAGTATCTGGTATCTGCTCATGCTATGAACGGAGGAGGTCCTACAGCACAAATAATAGAAAGGGATGGTTGGACGCAGGATAAAGATTTTGTTGGTCACAGAAAGGCAGTAACCTGTGTTGTACGTATTGCAAAGATATTTCCTTGCATTAGAATTCCTATTAGGATCGCATGCATTCCCATTAGAATCGATTGTATCTGTAAGTGCATCTGTCATTCTATTTTGTAGAGATTTAACGGCAATATTCTGCAGAAGAAGCAACCAGGTTCCTCAAAACCGCAACAGTACTGTTGCGTCGCGATAGGATCACGAGATCGTTCCTTATCCGTATGGCTAACATCATTAAAAAGACCCCTGGTTGTAATACACGAATTATTTACCCATTCTGTATTGGACGCTAGCTGGTCACCCTGCGGTCTTCGGCTTGCAGCTTGTTCGTGGGACGGCACGGCTGTGTTTATTGAATTCACTCAGCAAGAATTGGGGCAATCACTGGATCCCGCTGAACAAGTAATTACACATGCTGTAGACATATAGCTATTAATATTTTCATGTATTTGATCAAATCGGTGAATTTTTTTCTCTTGTGTTTACAGAGTAGTCTTCATGAACGATTATATGGTAAACCGTTGGTTCAAGGAGGTTGCATGGTGATGGAGGCACCAGAACTTCTCAATTTGAAACCACCAGCACCCTCGAATCAGTCTCCTCAACTACCACCCACTCCAAGCGTTCCTCCACCTACTAACATCACTGCAGTCACTCCAGTTAAAGGACCTATCAATAAGCAAATTGAAACGAGAACTTCAGATGGTAAAAGAAGAATTACACCTATGTTTATTCCGCCGCCGGCAGATACGGCGTAAGTTAATTTCCTCATTTTAAGTTAGATTTTCGAATTGTTGTGATATTTATCGTGTCAATCTTCAGGGATACGACGATTGGCGGCAGCTTAGGTACACCGACGTTCACGAGCAAGGTACAGACGAAAAGTTCGATCGTGATAGAGAAACGCAACGATGTCGTGGCTCCAAATGTCACTTCGTCATCTGCAAAGCCAGCTACTGTTGATACTTCGGGATCCGCCCTTACGTTGAAACGTAGAGAGCAAACGACGCCGAAGACGCATCATTCTTCATTGACCAAAAAGCCCAGATTTATGTTTGACAAAAGTGTTGGTCAAATATTATTACCTGCGCTCAAGCCATCCAGCTCATTATCTCAGCAGGCGGGTCATTACGCCGTGACGGTCACCAACAGTCAGGGTTTGGCGCATTTGCAGGTATTCAGAGGTACGGACTCTGAACCGACCTGGGATCTTTATTTAGGATACAGTGCCGTTGCGTTAGCAGCATCACCGGCTGTAATAGCCTTAGGTTTGGAAGACGGAAGCCTTCATACGTTTCATCCTGCCAAAGGCTGTCGTCCAGCACCACCGTTGGCGCCTCCAGCTCCATTGGCCAAGGTTCACGCTGTCGGAAATGCCGTAAGTTATTTAATTCCATAATCATTTTCAACAGCTGTTAAAACTATAAAGTTTTGCTGTGTCCGGATACTTATTAGAGTGTAATTCTTACATCTGTTTACAAATAAATAAAATCTGATTCCTTTGATAGAACGATCTGCTTGTAATATGGGTAAAATTGAGAGGCTCATTAGTTTATACTTTTAAAAAATCTTAAAGGTAATGGTGATATCAAGCTGCGGTGCGGTCCGCGTGTGGGAAATAGGGAATACATGTAGAATGATTGTCTCGACTTCTGCTGCTCATTTAGCGGCCCCTGGGACATCCCTCTTGTCATGTACGCTGTATAACGGAATGCCACATCTGGCATTTACTAATGCGCGAGCATATATGTACCACAAAGACATGGGTATGATAAATTCATCATTTTTCCTTTTCATTTACATACAATTAAATATCGTGATTAATGATTTTTCGCACAGGAACGTGGTTATTAATCGGAGATAGCCAAGATCCCGTATGGCGTTGGTCATCGTTCAATGTGTTGAGTACATCAGGAAATAGAGCGCCTAGAGGTCCTTTATCTTCGCTGCAGGAAGGCTTGCTCAAAACTGCCGGCAATACTTTGCCAAATCCACGGTTACCCCACAGTGCACCAAGCGTGGTATCCTACTTGGAACAACAGTTGTTAGCTTCTAAAGCTCTCGGAAGTGCTCAAGAATACGTTCATTGGCTGATGGCTTTGGTGTCATTCTTATTGACTCAAGGTGTGTCATACCTGCGTTGCATTTCTGTGAATTTATTTGTTAGGTTCATTTATTAAGTGGATTGTAAATTTTTGCAACATTTTTACTTTAGATGGTTTGGAGAGACGTCTAAGGTTAATTTTGGACGATCTGTTGGGCCCAAGTCATACATCAGCCTCAAAAAGTACATGGGACCCAGCTGTTTTGGTAATGTCGCCTATACCTCGCTAATCTCTAGTTCTCAATTCAGTCGCGAAAGATAATATCTCAATATCATTTTGCTCTTACAGGGAATGAAGAAGCATAAACTTTTGAGTGATGTACTGGCCGTAGTCGGCGGTCATCTTCGTTGGCAACGATTGTATCTCGAATATTCTGAACAATTAACAACAATGAAGAATCAGATTAATTGATTCATCACAATATGAATGACATTGGTTCCAAGATTCATCCTTTCTTTCATACAATGTCGTGTATATTTTTCAACGTATGATGAAGGCAAGACTGTATAGTTTTTTATAACGTTCGCGGTATAATAATTGACATAAGTGTATCATAAGGAAATAAATCATTCTTACACACATTATCCGTCTATCATGAAGACAGAGTCGTTTCTTTTCCTTCTCTTTAGAAGACGTTGCGCGTTCCGATACTCGTGATATTCTATAAACGAGCCAATGTATTCTATCAATATTATCTTAGGGAGAGTATCACGTGTGGACGCGAGTAATAACCGCGTGTGAGTTACAGAGATACGTTCATAATAATAATATATTATACCGATAGATATACACCACCTTTCTTAAGCTCTCTCTTTATAAAAATACATAACGAAGCACAATGTGCAGTAAGCAGGGAACTCAACCTCGAAAGCGTAACTAGTGAGCATTACAAAATCAATAAATTTTCACAGGATGAATTATAATACGCGCGCCCACATTATTCTGTGCGTTATCGTCGGTTATTATCCCCATGATTATTATTTTATACTTACACGAACAGATCACACAGTCGTCGTACAACTTTTCCTTAACTTTATTCATGGAATATTAATTAATGCAACAGGCAAAACGAGATTGCAACAGATCGATGTTCCACTTTATAATGTCGTTTCTTTCCCTCTTCGCAAGAAGACGCTGCGCTCCGAATTAGCACCATTAATTGCCCGCCGATGTTACATCGGGAGAACGTGAGGGAGAGCCGAACGTTCCACTCTCGAGAGAACTGATTTAACGCGACGCTTTGAGATATATATATATGTATATATATATAGATATATATATAAACATAATGTATAAAAAATAAAGTTAGGCAATTATATATTTCTTATGTCAATCCTCTATCACGAATGTTGCATACGGTATAAGAACGCGTTAAATACGAAGTTCAACGCGTATATATGTGTTCGGGCGTATCCAGAAGGTCTCTCTTGCATCTGTTTTTTTCTTTTTCCTTTTCTTTTTTAAATTCTTCTCATATTTCGTATATCGTGCGCGCACGACATCGCGCTTCACGCTCCGAAGCGAAAATAAATTCTTTGTACAACGGAAAGCGATGAATCGCGAAGCGCGATGCTGACACGCGAGATCGTGTCTTAAGTCGCTGCTTAACATCGTGGAACGTCGTTTTTGCTATGTTTAAGGTACGTATATATATATAATCAATCGTCGGTTCGTGTTCGTGCGGCACGCCTAGATCAACGCCTGTGGCAGTTGTTTCTTGCAACGAACACTTCGTCGAAATACAATTTTTACCACGATACTGACAGCGTTCAAACATGCATATTTCGCGCGGAGGGAACAATATATTGCACGCGCCGCGGCAACGGGTATAGAGCGCTATATGTGTACAATAAATTAAGAATGCGATCTCGTCTCGGCTACATATTCTCAGTCACCGTTTGGTCCGTTACATGATTTACGTAGAAATTCGTCGTGTGTAAAACTACCGTATAACGCAACGCTCGAGGCAACCTGCACTTTCGAGGTGATTTTTTGGGTCTACGCCTTTCTTTCTTTTCCTTGTTTCTCCTTGTCTAGGGTCTCGAGACTGACTAACTGCGGTGCTCCGCAGCTTCAGGGCCGACGATCTCATAAGACCTGCGGTATTCTCCCTAATTTCTGAGACGTCTTTATTGAAGCTAGTGTTCTATCATTGTAATTGTGATAATATAAACATATAGATAGCGTAAATGGAAACATTATATAAATAGAAATATAATATTATGTTGAAATAATACGCATAATGAGAACTTTTTACAAAATTAGGAAAAATCCCGCAGGTTTTATAAATTTGACGATCCTGAGAAGTCGCAAGGTTCGACGAGAAAAGGCAAGAGAAAAACAATAGATGTAGACTTCGAAAATCACCTGAAAAATGCAAGCAATTCCGAACGCTGGTACAATATATAAAGGTTCCTGCGATTCGCGCACAATTACGGTCAACGAAAACACCAGCGAGGCGAGCTTAGAAGAGGCAGTACGAATTTTACATACAGATTTCGCAGAAAGTGCTCTCTTCAGAGAGAGAAATAAGCTGGTAGTGAATGAATTGATCACAAACTTTCCGTCGTCTCATATGTTACACCGATGTGAGCTCGCCCCGTCAATGTTTCAACGAAGATCGAACTGGAGGATCGATTTCGTGTCGGTCGAATGGCACGGCGAAGAAACGAGGAAGTCGGCTGTTCACTGTTATACCGGTGGCGGTCCGTTCGGGTAAAAGGCTAACGGTGTGAAGCTTCTCGCCAGATTGTTAGACAGCATACAGCTGTAATCTTCTTCTGCGGACGGCACCAGCGACGCGACGCCAAGCAGGAGCAGCATCAGCGCTTGGATCGGTAGGGAGATCCGCAGGACTCTCCCGAGGAAACGATACCCGCGCGCCAACACCGTTCGACCCCTTTCGTCACCACTGAAACAAATTTGCGACGATGGACAATTAAAACGAAGGATGTCTCATTGTAGATTCACGGTTAATGTCTTAACTTTACGAGGGGTGAAGCTTTGCTTATCGGAACGTTCCGCAAGATCGATCCCGAGTCAAAATTTCAGCCCTACTTTCGACCTGAACTTTTTAACATTTGTATATTTTGAAGGTTCAGTATATATTTAACATACAGAAAAACTGAAAACTTGCTTAACGTCTCTAAATGATAGAAAATGCGCAGAATACTACTTGGAGGTTTTAAAGAAGACCTCTCTCGGCAAAAGTAGTAGGATTGAAATCAAGAATAGAATCAAAAGAAATGTACATAAGCTTCAGAATATCAAAATAGGCGTTGAATGAGATATTTGAATCAAAAGTAGGATCAAAATTTCGATCTGGGATGCACTTCTGTTTGCGACAACATTGATATGATTCAATAAGCGGCATGTTAAATGTATGCGAGATTGTACGTCAGATTAGCAGCAGATTCGATTAGAATACTATGACAGACTTATAACCATCTGTGTCTGAATCCGTGTTCTGTTGACAGAGTCTGCTGATATAATTTGACAGCAGATTGACAGCAGTAACCGAGTAGGATCTACAGTTCATTTCATTTAAATATACACGTTTAATTACATTTATATTGCAATTTTAGACAAAATCGTAAAACTCATAACTTGTTTTCGTAAGACTCGTAAGAATTTATGAGTAGATTTGCAATTCTATGCGGACTATATGTCATATGATAATAACTCGTAAATATCTACGATTTTTTTTGTTTTTTTTCCTAAGTTACGATTTTACGATTTTACGACTTACTCGTATATTTGCTTAGAATTACAGCATTAATAGATACATTAATGGATTATAGAATGTCAGATATCCTGCTCGGTTTTTGCCGTTAATCTGCGATCATACTCTGCTAGCAGATTCTGTTGTATTTCCGCTACCAAACTGCCGACAAAATTTGCACTGCAAACATCGCATAAAATCTGCTTCTGTAGAATTTGGCTGTCTGGAGAAATGACTGTTACTCTGTTCCGACGAGTAAAGCTCCACCGGCCAATGCCGATCGACAAATATTGTTGCGACGAAAGAGATAACAACATACTCTGTGCCGGTGGCGTGAGGCTGAGCAGTTCCAGAGGCAGCTTCGTCGAGCAGCTACAGTTCAACAAAAACAGAAAACACAAACAATAAGATACTGTGCAAGTGATTGCTACTGATAATTTACGCGCGGGAGCGTCGCTACGACGGGAGAAAATAGCTGGGAAATTCGCGACTTCCGATTCCCCATCGTCGACGCTGACTCGCTCTGAGAGATTGGTTCGTGTGATTTTACTAAGTCGTGCAACGAGATCTACGGTAATACGCTATACACCTAGACGGCAACAAAAGCAACGGTCGCATTTTACCGAGTGTGATAAACAGGTGATGTACACAATTATAAAAATTATAAATTATAGATACATTAATATGTCGCGATATAAACAACATAAGTTTCTACTTTATCGCATATATACGGCAGATGAGAATTTTTCCTTCTCTTTCTAATGGAAAAATACCACAGCGTTGAGATTGTTATTGAATTACGTGTACTAATATCATCGATTATGTCTGGTGATCCACGAGATCTACCTTTCTCGACGAACTCAATGATATAATACTTGTAGATCAATGCAATTATATGGTGATCTTTCAGTTAGAGAAAAACTTATTACGTAAAAGAATGAAGCTTACGTCGTGTGACAGAGACGCGAGAGACGACGTTGCAGCGGCAAGACCGACATCCCGCGGGTCTAATCCGAGAGCTGCTCCTAGTTTAAGAGCGTAGATTCCGGTGAGTCGTCTTAATGATTGCAACCTTAATCGTAGCTCCTGTAGACGCGCTCTGGTTTCCGTCTGTTCGTCCAAAAGTTGATTAGCGGACTCCTGCAGCGATATCACTCGCGGCTCGCAACGTTCCAAGTCGCTTCGCAGTTCCCTTGAAAAATTGCAAGCAGCTTCGTTAGAACGCACTTCTCGGCGATGACTTTTAATCCAAAATGAACACTCAGGTATATCGACACACATCAACTATATCGTACGAATGGACGAATCGAAGTGAATTTACTATATACCTGAATTTATTATATTTCGCTTCTATAATATCGTTAGATTCGGTCAGATCAATTGGCTCGCTCGCCCGTATGCTGATCTCGGTACGCTCGAGCCAGGCCAACAGCTCGTCTATGATACGGTAGAACTGGTGATTCGTCATAAGGGCGACCTGCAGCTGTTCCTGCCACTGTGCGGCAGCTGTACAGATCTTCTCCCATCTGGCGTTCGCCACGGCCAATCGATCGCGAAGCTCCTTCGCGCGCTCCGTGTCTTCGGTATGATCAGCCAAATGGGCACCGACTATATTGAGGCTCACTACGATGCTCTTGTGACTATCGAGATCGAGCAGGAATTCCCGGTGATCTTGAATTACGTCTTCCAATTGCTCGATGTCGCCCGGCGGCGAGTGTTGTTCGCTTTGCGTGCCCTCGGCAAACTCCAACCATTTGTCCAAACGCCAGAGGTCATTGTCCAGCTGGGCCCAATTCCGACGGGAGCATAGTGGACAGGTCAGTCTGCCGCTATCGCTGCAGGATTCACAATTGCAATTATAGTTTCAATTAAAGTTGAAGCTGAAATTGCGATTTAATATGGTAGTTTAATGGAAATTATTTACATTACTTGTCGTATACTTTGAATATCCTTTTTATAGGAAATTCTGTATATATTTGCATTTGCATCGTGACAAGTGTTCGAGCAACTTTGCAAGGATTTGTCAATTCAAATAAATCTCTGTTAAGTAACAAGCGCGTCGAAATTCTGTTTGAGCTTGGAAAAGGTAATAGCAAATATTGGTAATAGCGAAATTATATACGTTAATGATACATTTATCGAATTAATTATTACATGATTAGTTACTCACTGGTCACATGGAAAAGCGTAAGCATCGGTGATGGGCGATCTGTATGGGATAAGGGATAAGCATTGTATTATATATAATCGGTATTAGCTAAGCGTTATTGCCTGCGTTAAAAGTTATTGCGTGGCGATATGAGTCTAAATTGGCGTCTAAACTGGCAAAAGGCTTGAACAACACGTGGAGAACAAGCGTTATCGATATTGACAATTGTATTTGGTCAATTATTTATATCGAATGTTAGTAGCATGATAATTAAAGAAGATAGCATTGCATCTGAATGGATGATGGTGTTAAACATGACACATCGTTAAGATTGGTATCACGTATAAAAGTTAATAGCGTATGCGTGTAAATTTACAACAAACTTATTTCAATATCGTCTTAGATCTCAGAAGATACCACAGAGTTTCTTAAAATTAAAAAACAAGCCTTTACACATAAAGCAGTGTGATTGAAATCATCTCCCACAGATCTTAAAATTCAATTATCTTTTCAATGAAGTCATATATAGACCCTTTGTGATATCAGAATAAAATTCACAATATTAAGGGACTAAATTTAGGAGATTCTTCGTTATTGCAAATTCCACCGATTAGAAGTCTCAAGACGTTAAGTACGCTTAAAGAAAATGAAGTGAGCGTGAAGGGAACTTTACCTGAGCTCTCTGATTTGCTGTTCACGTGCTCTTGCTAGTGCAATGAGTGTGTCGTATCGAGCTATTAATGTCGTTACCTCGCTACTCTTGGCAGCTCCCAAATTCGATTTGTTGTCTTCCATGAGTAGATTATGGAGATGACGTACCAGTTCTATCGAGGACTGGCAACTTCCGATTAGTTTAGCCTGCAGCACACACGTCAGTACTCAGTAAGTTTCACAAGTAGAGGGGAAGGCACAATTAGCTAATGAATCTTACGATAGTCTTAGCGGCCGCGTTTAATCCAGGACCAGAAACGGGGTCAGGTGTTACCGCTGCCTCCAGAGCGTCCAAAGCGTTGTTGCACTCGTTCAAGGCGGCCTCCAGCTCGATCAGGTAAGCGTCGCACGAGGTCATTCGAACGAGCCGCGGTAGGGTGTCCACTTGAACCGCGGTGTCTTGCTCGAACTTCAGAGTCTCCACCTGCACCGCTTCGTCGACTTCCGATTTCTCCTGCGTCTCCAACTCCGCCTTCAACGCGGCTACTCGCGCCTTGATGTCTCTCCACAGCAGCTGATACTCGTCCACCAGCTCCTGGACCGCGGCCACGTCGTCGGGATTGCTCTCCTGCATGACACGCAGCGCCAGCTCGTCAGCCTTTCGCAGAGTGACGTTTTGGGTATTGAGTTCCTCTTCGATCTCGCTCAGCTGCTGGCGTCTTCGTCGCGAGGACGACCTCTGCTCGGGCGTAGCTAGATGCTGCATCTGCGTGAGTCGGACATCCACCTGAGTTAGACCCACTAGTGCGGCGCCGTGTGCGGACACGAACTCGCGATAGGTTTTCTGTTCCCGTTGGAGACACGAGATGACAGCTTTGATTCTCGTTTCGAGGACCAACCACCTGTCAATGGTCTTTCGCGTCTCGTGGGTGAGCGAGCGGAAATTGTCAGGCTCTAACCCGGATTTCGCGAGGCGTCCGAATACTTGTTCAAGGATCTTCAAGGCCTTCTGGTGTGCCTCGATGTCCTTGGCCATCGACTTGGACCTCTCGATCATTTTCTCCGACTCCTCCTTGGAGATCTCGAGCAGATCCTTCTCAAGGTCCAACAGAGATTTTTCCGTCTTGCTCAGCCAAGGTTCGTGCTCAGATCTAGTTTTATCCAGCTCCTGCAACATTTTCCAGACCAACATGATTTTCCTCTTACGCTCGGTGGATCTCACACACACGGATTTCCATCGCTTCTCTAAACCCTCCATTCCGTTCTTTATCGCGTCCATGTTGAAGGAGACTTTCCATGTGTCGCAGTCGTTCAACAGGATCTCGCACAGATTCAGTACTTGGCCGATATTGGAGGTTTCAGCTTCGATACTCGTCTTGAGATGCTCGTGATCCTCAAGCTTTTTATCGATGCACCTCTGCGTAGGTTTCTCGATGATAAAAGTCTCGGACAGTTGACTCTCGATGCCGGTCAACCAGGTTCGTAAATCGGCTATCCTCTTCAATAACGAGTTCATAGTGTGTATTAAGTCGACCAACTTGCTAGCTCTCGCCTTACTGCCTGACATTAAACGATTCCACTTCTCATTGACTTCGTCCAAAGATTGTTGCAACTTCGCTTTCTCCGCCTCCTCGGCAACTTCTATCAGTTCCTGTCCAGTGTTCTGCAGCCACTCGAGTTCACGCTGCTTCAGGCTCATCTCCGTCTGCAGCTCGTAATCGAGCCGCTTCAAGGCCTCCTCAGGTTCGTCTAACGCCATGATGTCGTAGTTTCGCATCCTGGCTCTTGTGTCGTCTATCCACTGCAGGAACTTGTTCAGCCTACTCTCCCATCGACCGTGAAGACCGTAGCGTTCTCCGAGCCTGTACGCCAACAGTGCCAACTGATACTCGAGATCGCCGTGTTGCTGCGACAGAAGTGCGTCGTGTTGATTCAACGTCTTCATGTCGCTCGGACTCAGACACTCCCTCAGCTGCTCCGTGATGACGCCGAGGGACTCCATGTTACGTTGTCCTTCAGCCAGGAGAGTTCTCAAATGTTGGATCGACTCCAGCTGTTCCTTCGTCCTGGACAGACTCGACGGGCCTGCGTGGAAGGCCGAGCTTAATGCCTGGCTGATTTCCTGGAAGGTTGTGGTGATCATCCCGGATTGCTCGACATGCTGCGCGTGCAGTTTCTGTACCCTCTGGACGAAATCCCGCCAAGTCTCCAGAGCGGCTCGTAAATTAGCGATGCGCTGTACATTAGCCGCGTGTTCCATGCGTATCGAGACAGCCAGCGCCTCGTCGCAGTCGGTCAGCAGGTACTCTTGCTGCTCCTGAAGCGATTCAATCTGCGCCTCGCCGGACGGTAGTTTGTCCAGGAGAGCTTGAATCCTCTGCAGGATCTTGTCCAGCCGCTTCAGATGGATGAACTGCAAGTGCATGCGCTGTCGTTCCCTCTCAACCTCCTTCAGCCACGTCAACAGTCTGCCCTGGTCTTGCCTGTACTTATCCCAGGCCGATATTCTGTCGCGCACCGTTGCGTGCCGCTCGAGTATCCTCGCGAGCGTTTCATTGTGCAGATTCGTCAGGGCGTTAAACTGCTCGGCGACCGATCGGTCGCGGTCCTCCTCTTGCCGCACCGTCAATATGAGATTCTGTTGCTCCGGCAGGAGCTTTCGGTGTACCTCGCAGATATTCCGATACTCTGACAGCCCGTTGTAGTCACCCGGCACACCGCTGGATAAGAAGTCCTGCACGTGCGTCAGGTACTCCTCCCAGAGCTTGAGCGCGGCCACTACATCCTGCGAGCGTATCAGTCGCGTAGACAGACGATGATATTGCTGGAACGTCTCCTGGAATACGCGCTGCCAAAGTTGCACCACCTCAACCACCGACGGCTCTTGCACGGACACGTCCAACGCGCGATCCTTGATGGACTGAAGCTGCGGTTCGGTTCGCGTAAGGGCCAGGAGATGATTCCGCAATACTGTCAGCTGCTCGTTCGACTCACCTTGACCCACCGCCGTGAGGCTCTGGAAATTGGCAGCGGGGGTCTTCCGGATTAGTGGCAGCTTGGGAAACTCGACGGGGGAAGTAAAACATTTATGAATCAATTTGGCGCGCGCGAATGGTTCCGCGAATTTCCGGTAACGTCGATAACACGAGACGATCAATGCACCTCCGCCGCGGTAGTATCGCCGGTAGTTTCGCGAGGCGAAATCCTTGAAGCGAGCGCGCTTCGACGGCGCGACATAGTTATATCCCCTTTGGCAAGTAGGATCGCGTCGAATCGCCTTTATCTGCGATCGACGTTGACGACGTGCGCCGTAAATTCCGTCGGAAAACGTGGCCCGGCGCCCTCAAGTTCGAAAGTTTCGGCCTGGCTCTGTGCACAGCCCTCGGCCGTGTACAGCCATTCAGCTGTTGCGGATTTCGTGACTGATGTAATTGCCACCCCGGGTTAAGCCTTTCGGCCTTGACATAACAAATTGTTTCGGAACTACCGCGATTAAAATATAAACGCGCGTGCGAAGCGATGATCGAGGTTGTGCCAAGCACCAATGGTGCGCCTCGCTCGAGAACTGACGGACGCGTTAATACGTCAGACTAAGCTCGGCTCGCGGCGGGCTTAACGATCACCTTCGAAGTACCGGCGAACGTGTACATCGATCCTTGAAAAATGTTTTAACTGCGAGAAACTCGAGGAAGGCCTCGTTCTCGCCAAGGTCCTGAATCCGTTTCCTCGCACGTACGAGTGCCAGGATGATGACTAACCGTCGTTGGATGCACCCACAAGAAAAATTTGTCGAACTGTAATCGCTGACGGAGAAAGAGAAAGAGAGAGAAAGAAATTAATCCTTTTCACGCGAAATCGAAAACTGCAACTGCATACATTTCACTCGTTTAGTCATTCCGCGAAATGTCTTTCTTTCTTTGCCTTTTCTCACACCGAGACCGAGATGAGCCACGACTTTTCTCAGTTCTCGCAAGTCGTCGTCGTAACATTAATGACGCTCGAGTGCTTCGCGTTAAAACGGGCGGAAGACGCGCGCTTGACTGGCACATAGTCAGGGAGAAGCGCGAACGGAACGAAGCGCACGTACCTGTTGGACCGAGTCCAGGAAATTTTTCGTCTGGCAGAGATCGCCGCGCGCGAGCTCTTGATTGAGCACACGGGCGTCCACCGTGTCCGCGAGGGTCGACAAGGTTTCGCGAACATCCTCGAGTCGTTGACCGAGCGCCTCGACTTCGCAGTGCAGCGGTCCACCGGCGTCCAGACCCACGTCTGATGCGATCTGTGCTACCAGACCGCGCAGTTCAGCAAGTCTCTCCTTGTGCTCCGCCAGTGTCTCCTCGCAAACCTACGACAAGTTCAAAGCATCCGTAACCTAGAGAATTCCTCCGTTTGTCCTTTGAACATCTCAAAAAACAAGATACGGCCTGCCTGAATCTGTCTGGCGAATTTTTTATGTGATAATTTTATCATTTCGCAGCGATTTAATTGGGAAATAAGGTAAAGGTACCAATAGCCGGACATATACACGGAAAATTATTATTATTAACCTTAATTATTTCTTTTAGTATAATATTAATGTTTAATTAAAATCTATATATATCAATATTTAAAAATATTTATATGTTGAATTATTTTAAGTATTATAAAGATTATTATCTAATGAAAAAGAAAACTGTAACATGATTAGATACAGGATATACTTTCATGATGTTCTTAACGTTTTGTTAAGAAGTTTGATATATTTGTTAAGATATTTTTTATTTACTTTATTGTTTTCATCTTATAAGCATTACGTTATATAATCCGAAAATGGTAAAGAATAATTATAAGAATGCATTTAGTTATAAGAAAACTTATTTATAGTTAAATTTTATGAATTTTGCTACTAGTACAGTAATTTTATGATTGCCTAGTAACCGGCCACACGTTCAGTTACCGATGCAACTCGCGTTGCACATGTGCTCGCGTGTACCAACAAGCAAATCGAGAATAACTGCTGTCACAAACATTTTTATAAGTAAAATTACTTAAAATTATTGTCAACAAAAGTTTAAAGAGTAAGTAAATATTGACATATCAATTAATGTAATTTGAAAGTGTATATTTTAACCATCTAATCTCTATATCTATCTATATCATCTATCTATACCATCTAATTTAATCTCTATACCTATATAGCCTCTAAAATATAATTTCCGAACGACATCCATGCGAACACTTGTTACCTGCATTAATACTGTATGAATTATGGCTTTTTTATAAGATCATATGGCAAAAAACATAAGAGAAAAGTCATATACACAACGTAAGGACGTGAATGCTGCTTTGGAGGACATGAAAAACAGTAAAAATAAAAAAAAATCAATAAAAATATGAAGATTTTGTAATTTTATTTTAATAATCATGTTCGGATATTGAGTCAACTGAGTTTAGCAATAGAGACATTGTCCGGGTATTGGTACATTCCTACTCTTGCAAATTTGATTATTTTTTAAATAGTTTTGATAATTTTACTGTCTTTTATATCTTAATAATTTCTTAAAGTCTCAGCTCTTCATTAATTATATTTTTACATTATTAAATACTTTTATAAAATTAAGCAATTGTAGTATTATGCCGTTAAATGTCCGGCTATTGGGACATTTACCTTACATCATTAAAATTAAATGCAGCTCGTTTTATGTGTGTATGTATGTATATTCGGTTGTGGTAATACCACGACATTTTCGCAGCCATGTTTAGAAATCAGCCGAAGATGCAAGCAAGAGGGACGGATCTAGAACGCACCTAGAGTCTTGTACACGGAGAGCATGTGTTTATGCCTATCTATCAGTATTTATAGACATGTAGTGTATATCCATTATCCCTCCTCTACGTGGGAACGAAATATACCATGAAAATACTGTACATTTTTGGAATCCCCATTACGATCTATCTCGCTTATCGTGTTTTTCTCTTTTGTGCATTTTTTTTTGACGGAACTCGTCGCAAATTTACTTACTCCCTCGCTCGAAATGCATTTTCGCACGATCGTAAAATTTTCTTGGTTAGTGGTCGGCTAATTATCGCGCCCGAAGTCGCATGCAAGTGGGATCGATACGCGTCTCTGTTGCGGCTGTATCCCGACAATTAAATACTCGAACTCGTAACTCCATTATTTGAAGAGTGCTGAATAGTTGTAGTTCACATTCACGCGATATCCGTATCGATTTATCTCCATTACCGATGTATCTTACTGTGTGACATAGTACTTGACTTTGTCCTTCGTGTGACGTCAACATAAAATGTGCCGTCGAGCGAGAGATAACGGAGCATGTCTTTCTTTTATTATGTTTACGTAAAATCAGAGCAGCATTCAAGCCAGACGTTCCGGTCGTCAAGAAGAAGAATTTTTTCTTCCTTCCCATCAACTTGGCTGGTCGATGAATAAACAGATGCGCGAGTGTTTCGCGATACGCATACATTATCGCGCGCGGGGCAAGACCTTCGCGCGAGCGCTGACATCCGCTGACATTTGTAAAACGCATTCGGTTTCGTCAGCCTGGGTGGTAAGCGCCTCATCTACTTCGCAAAGTGCGAAACAGGAATGAGCATTCTCGGCTCTCTTCACATCCACTTTGCTCTGCTCTGCGGTTTTTCTTCAGACTTGAGAAGCAATCTTTTTTTTTAACGGATTTATCAAGACTCTTGAGCATTTAAACATGTAAATATACATGTATGACAACTAATTTTTGGCAAAAGTGAACACTCGATGTGAATAATCAATTTTTCGTTGTTAACTCATCGACATCACCAATTTCTACTTTTCTTGTTGACAATTTTCAAAATAATTCTCTCGTATAGTTCAATTAAGGGATAAATAAAGATAAATAATATAAATAAATATAAATAAATATAATATAAATAAATAAATATTTAATACATATTTATTATATATTTATTATATATAAATAATATAAATAAATATAAATAAATAATATAAATAAATATAGATAAATATAGATTAAAATTTAAAAGATACATTATCAGCTCATTAACGATTTATTCTCGGATAATATTGGTGTATTATCGATTTTAAGAGAATTTCGCTTTCCGGAAGCTGTGTTTGAAATTCAAGCAGGTGCAAACGAAGGCTGCGCGAATTTGACCCGGTTTCTCGCCTCTTCGTATGTACACGCCGACGACCTAGCGATAAAAACGCAACGTCCGGGGGAAAATATTTACGCGAGACGACACACGGTCGCGCTTTTCAGAGCGCCAAAGTTATTTCCGTCCCGTTGTTTCAGCCGGCGGTTTCAATCTCCAGCCTGTGGCGAGCAGTCACGTCTTTTCATAGATCCTGTCTCATTTCTCTATCCGTTCGCCGTCGCGGTTTACCTTTCTCTCCTCCGGCGTGCACATGTCTCAATTCAAATCGTCGCCCATGCTTCCTGCTTTTTGACGCGCGTCACGAACCTCCGCTCCGAAACGAGGCGTACACGTGCGACGTTACACTGCCGTCTGTCGTCGTCCAAACACATGGTTCGACCGGTCGATATGCGTGTACATGTACGCGCGCACACACCCATAAGCACACGCGCGCACACTCGCGTCCACGCACTTTCGCACACGCGTCCGATACGGCGCGAGTGTTCAAACGTCTGTCTGATAACAGGAGAAAGATAACGGGAGATCGCGCGCGCTTCCGGCGAGACCAGTAACGCTTTGGAGGAGAAGCCCGAGTCGAGAGCGCGATTCGGATGCTGCAAGCGCTTCGGCGCCCTGGACCAGACTGGCGTAGTCTGCGAGGGATCGATGCGCGCGTCCGTACGGTCTCGCCCTCTTGCCCCGTATTCTCTCGCCGACCTACCCCTGCCAGAAACGACACGCCTGTGTGTGCACGGTATATTCCGTAAGCGCGAGCGAGGGGTGCCGGCGATACGGCGATGATGACGATGCGTCGATCTCTCCTCTCGTTCGACCCTTCGTCCATGTCACACAGCGCGTCGTCACACAGCCGCGATTGGCAATGTGCGCCCGCGCACATAGCGGCGGGACGATGACATCACGCGCTTCTCCATTCAAGGGATGAAAGCGCGTCTGTTGCGCGTCTCTGACTCGACCGTTACACTCGTCCGTCTCGTGGGAGAAAAAGACTCAACGTCGGCCGACATAGGAGTACGCCAGCAAGAATATTCGTCGTGCTGTTTCACAAGCCTCACAAGTCGCACAAATTTTCAATGTCAACGGACGTTGCAATTATTTTTACAGCGCTCGCTGTTCGTCTGTTGATAAGAGATTACATTAGCCGATAGAATCGAGTGACAAGATTGAGTATACTTGGTATCTCGAGTCGAAATTTTGATCTCAATTTCTAATTTCAATGTTTAACGTCTACTTTGATACTCTGAAGCCTACAACTGTCTTCTTTTAAATTGTATTTAATCTATTAATTTTGCGGAGAGATCCTCTTTAGAACTCACAAGTGGCATTATGTATATTTTCTGCCATTTAGAGGCGCTACGTAGAACTTCAGTTTCCGTATGTATTATATATACACTAATCTTTCAGAATATACAAATGTTAGAAAATTCAGGACGAAAATAGAGCTAAGATTTCGATGCGGGATTAGCCACTCGACATCATCTCGTGTACGATTCGTGCTATCCGAGATGCGATTCAGGGCTTATGTAAAAGCGCAGAAAAATGATGTTGTCCCAAGTGTAACTTTATTTGTCGGCATACATTGTTATCAAGTTAACCGTTAACCGCTGTCGCTTATCGCGCAAGAATGTCTCAACTTCGTTATCTATTCGTTTCTCGCATTAGTTATTGCGAGGTAAGCGTTCCTAGTTATCTTTTTCATGAGATTCTCATATACAGAGTTCATAAATAAGTAAAATATACGAGTTCTGTTATCTCGAGTTTGTCGTATTCCAAATTAAAAAAGGCAAGACCGGATGAGTTCCTTTTTGGCACAAAATGTCCACGAATATTTCGCGCTTCAGTAATTTATTTTCTAAATTAACGTCACATTCACCGGGTAAACCTGTGATTCTCGCGAGAGAGGATACCATCCGAGAGAAATCTATTTGTCTGCCACTTATCGGTCATTAGCGCGTTCTCTCACGCGTCTTCCACTTCCGCGATCGAGAATGTGGCGTAATGAGCGGGCAATATTTTTGAAACCGGATTGCATTTTAGGGATAGACACACACAAAAAAAACTAGCTTCCAGAGCTAAAAAATAGCTGTGGCAGATAAGATATGTCACTGAAATAGGGACAGCTAATGTCGATACTACCGAAGCTAAATTTATTCGCTGTTAAACTTAGGCGCTACAGCGAGAAATATTAGCTGCTAGAAATAAATGATTGTAGCTGTACGGCAAATCTCTTTAATATATGCATACGATAAGAAATTTAGGAATAACTGCCATTTTCTTAGCTACTCGAAATAATGTGCATTTTTAATGTCACGTAATATATTTGTATTTCATAGCAAATGCATCTTAACTGTCATAGCCAATTCTTAACAGTGACAGCTGAACGATTAGCCTTTTGACTAAGTTTGAATCAGTTACCGCGGTTTAGCTGATATTACTGAATCATTTTTTTGCGTGCAGGCTCGCGTCTGATTTATGCTGATAGAGGCCGTTTGTATTGAATTTCAAACGCTGTCACCTACCTTGATCTGCTTGACTGCTTCCTCCGGTGGCAGGTTCACCACACTGTTCATCTGGGTGTCCACCCAGGCTTTCACAGCGGCGCTCGAGTCCCTGTACTGCTGCCAGAGGTTGCACGCGCGCTGATATCGGGTGCAAAGGGCGTCCAATTCGGCCCTAGTGTCCTCCCAAGCTTGTACGGCCTCATTTACCGCCGCGTCGACCTTCTCGCGGACCTCTGCGGCGCAACTCTCCCGCAAAGGCTCGGCGGCGGCACGTAGTTCGCCAATGAGAACTTCTCGGGCACCCAAATCGCCGCTCAGACCCTGAAATTTAAAAGGCACATAAGGGCATACTTATGGAGGATCCATTTGAGGCTGCAAACGCTTCAGAGCGTGTAAAGAAAGATTGTGATTGGTCCATATGGCGCTTCGAAGCGTCAAGTGGATCTTGCTCTTAATATTCGCAGATATTATTTGTTACACTTTTGTGTAACTAAAGATAAACTGTCGAGGTACGCACGCTGATTAAATTCTACCGCAGGAGGAACCAATTGCAAAATGCATTCCTGATTGCAAAATGCTTTTCTGATCCCCAAAGCAGCTATCGATTACGAGATACGTTGCAATATTCTCCGAGCGCGATCTCTCTTTATTGAGTTGATGCATCGCAATGCATCTCGAAAATCATACCTCGCCCGACGGCGGCTTCGCGCCAAACAATTCAAAGAAAGCATAGGCACGCTGCTTTTACTTAAAACGCTCTATAAATAAATTTGCGGCACGAGACCAGCACGTTTCGAGACTTGCGACATGAATTCGGTCAGAACGTGGTTGAACTAATTCTGTGTCGTGTACTCGAGTTCGTTCACCTCGCCGCGAATTTCCCGCGGAAAGGCGTACGCGGAAATCGACTTACGTCGAATACCGACTCTTATTTCGAGTGGCACAAATCGCCGCGGTATTGCGCGACGAAAATACTCCCTCGTGAATTTTGCAGAAAGGCCCATTGGCAAATAAGCTGTCAGCATCTACTCACGGTCGATGTTACGATTAACACTGTACTTGCTTCGCGCGCACTGTGTGCGTATCTTTTGCAAAGCCACGTTAATATCGACTGGTTTACCTTAGCGTGCCTACATTCCGAATTCCGACGAGACATATGATGATAAATCGACACCAAGCACTAGGAGAGGAAATCGTAAATACACGCTCGACCGGTCGCGGCTATCCTAGACGCGTGCTTCTCCACGTGCCGCAGTTTACATACCATATCACCGCGTCACTACACTCTAAACGGCTGCAGTCGCTTGTGTCATCCTACGTAATTATTTCTAAAGTAGATTAGCGAGAACGTTCGTTATCGCCGATGTGCACGCTCTACATTTCTTGCGCTCGGCGCAACGGAATTCCCAGACGCAAGGTGTCGACGATGACAAATGTATTTCCACAGCTCCAATATCTGCCGCATGTGTGCCTTACTCGAAGGAATAACAGAGTTTTCTACAGACTCGACGTGAAATCAATGCCGCTCGCATCTCTGATGGTTTCTCATCTTATTAGCGTACCTGCACTTACGCGAGAGTGTAATCGCGACTAATTGCAGCCGCGCGCTGATGGACGTGTAATTGCACGAGGTCGAGAGAGAAAATGGCAATAATAACAGTACACAGTTATTTAGTTGAGTCGCGTTTACGCCGGCCGATCGCACGCGTGAAGGAGTGCGAGCTCGCGGACGCGGTGCGTGCATCGCGTCGGCGATACCGTGTTCCTCGCTTCACGTACACTGTCTCGTCACAGACGACCTGTTGCTTGCAACAACTACTTCACGCTTGACGCAATCTATGCTGATTTCATACGCATCGACGGATAACGGTGCACAGATTTACCTCGTATGTCCGCGCGACGGTCTCGCGTGGAGAGGCGCGACGTTCACGGTGGAAAAATAATCCTTGCGAAATCGTTCTCGTATGCGCATTTGCACATTCGCGGAGAACAGCCGGCCGCCTTCGGGCAGAAATATTGATGACGATCATGTGCGCGCGGCGTGCCGCCGATGCATGGGAGGTTCGCTAGGCTCCTTCATTAGCTAAACATCACGAGCGCTGATCCGGTTCACGTAGCCGCGGTGAGACCGATTTGCAAAGGATCAAAGGAAAACAACGGGTCCGTGGTGATTATGAGACATATCGCGAAGACGATGCGAGATGACAATTCCTGAAGCTGCACGGAGAACAAGAATTTGGTTGGATTGACTAAGTGTCTGATGAGATATGAACGAATCGGGATTTCGGCTGAGGTTATCAGAACTCTGGATTAACAAGATTCTAATTAACCAGAACTTATAACTGGTGTTGATCAGAAATCTTGTTAGTTAACCACAGTCTTGTTAATTTGAACTGACAACCTCTCAATCGGAATTTTGATTCGTTCATATTTCACCAGATATTTGGTTAATCCGACCAAATGTTCTTTTCCATATGAGCATACGCACTGAGGAAGAAATATTTGAAAAATCATTTGTGGGGATAAAGGTTATTTGATAGATATAAATCTTATATTCCACAAATAAGTTTTCAAATATTTTTTCTCGGTGTATACCCAGCTTAAGAAGGTAAAACGCACGATAAATGAGCCTTCTTGAGCGCTTGAACTCTCGCAGATTTGGCTTCCCGTTTCGTGGAGAGTTTGATCGACCGTCTCGCACTTTCTTAACGCGGAACGCGACGCGACGCACGCGAGAAAGAAAAGCGGCATTCATGCCGGTCCCGCACGAACGCAGTACATCCGGTTTCCTTTCGCGGATATTCAGCTGCAAACGCGCTTGTTTCGCGGCGCTGGAGCGTTCAATGAAAAAAAGTCTTGTCAATCGATCTATCAAGCGTGCGATCTTCCGCATCCGACGCGCCATTTCCGATGCTTCCGAACGATAATATTAAGCCGTCGCAACTTGCCACTGCGCGCTCAGGCGTTCTTTTGCAGTAGCCTGTCACTGACCCGTCATTAACTCAGTCACCGTTGATGAACACAGTATTTAACTGCAATTCGAAGACGCCACGGAATTTTCCAGGCAAACACGACTCCGGAAATTCTACTGGGAATATTCCTCTGCACGAGAAGCGCGTTTTGGTCCGAGTGGCAGAGCGGAAACCGCAGTCGCACCATTCAGGAAAGCGCTCACCGCGTGGCCGACGCGACGTTACCTTGAGGCTATTTATTCTGCTTCGTCCTCGTCGTGGAATTCCGGCGTCGGAGGGTCACGCCGGTCCGCGGGGAATCACGAGGCCTCCTCATTCGATCTACTTGCGGGTGACTTGTGCTTATCGGAGAGATAATGCAGATCGAAACTCAACGAAAGCGTCTCGAGGGAAAGAGAGAGAGAGGGGAGCAGAGAGAGAGAGAGAGAGACAGAGGAAAGGAGAAAGAGAGAGATATCGGTCGGGATTCGCGGGTATTCTCGGTGACGACGTAAACGCGACCACGGATCCCGCGGTACTGATAGGCGCCGCGGTAGTCTGCGATAACGCGACTCTAAAGTCTGAACGAGCGAGAGCCGCGACGCCTGCGCGGCCTGCCGGAGCGCGACGCTCCGTGTAGCACGTGTGTATGGTCGCCCTATCATTCACATATAAGATCGCTTCGTATTTGTATCGAATCTTAATCAATGACGCGACAAGGCAGATGAACTCTAATTGACTATTCATAAGTTTCGTGGAAAGCTCTTCGAAATTGAGCGTCGTTTCCTCGCCCGGCTCAACGTAGCGCACCTCGCGGCATTGCCAGCGCGATGTTGTGTCACGACTAATTACAGGTCGCAGACAATCTCACCCGTGGACTTTTAGACCTCTCAAGCTTCGAATCGCATTGTTCTACGTTCGCATAAGACGTATAACACAGAGAGAAGAATGACTCACCTCGAGCCGCTCGGTAGCCTTCAGCAGTCTGTCGTAATCAACGGAGCCCTGGACGGTTAACAGCTCCATCATGTAGTCCGCTTCTTGGACCGACTGCTGCACCATCTCCAGCTGCCTCTCGAATCGCCGCCATAACGCCAGTTTGCTGTGCAGCAACGAGAGCAGCCGAGCGCACCTCGACTCCAGCTCAGTGTGCGTGTCCTGCACATTGGACAGGTCTCTTTCGATGCCCACCGGCGACACTGTCACTCTCATGCCGGTCGGCAAGCTATGCAGCATTTGTCTCAACGCCATCAGATCCTGCCAGAGAATCGCCAGCTCGTCCGCGACCGACTGACAGCGATCCACGGCCGCAGCCACCAAATCGCTCCCTTGCTTTTCGCTCCCCTCGCATTGGTCTAGTATCGTTGACAATCTCTTGTGAGCCTTCCTGAAGCGACTCAATCCATGTTGAAGACATTGGATCCTCTCTCTAAGCAACTGCGCCGAGTCCAGTTCCTCGCCGATGAGACTCTCTATACAACGCGCCGACGACAGCAAGATTCCGACTCTTTCACTCTCCGCAGCTGGCAGAAGACCCAAACGACCTATTTCGTCCTGGATCACGAAGATCCTGTCGTACAACACGGTGAGCCTCTCAACGTACAAATCTAGCTCCTCCTCTGTCTTCAGCACCCCGTGGAAACTGTTGATCGTCATCCGTAGCTCGTTCAACTCTCTCTCGAGCAGTTTCAGCTTCTCGTTCGACGAGATCCCCTCCGACGACATACTGAGAGTGACACCCTTCTGGATCTCGTTGATCTTTTCACTGACCTCTTTCCAGCGATCGTGCAACTCGCCTCGGAACTGTCGCTGCAGCATCTCGTCCGCCAAAGGAACAGCTCGTAAGGCTTGCTCGAAGTAGTTGTACGCTTCGTTGCGCATGTTATTGTGAACCTCGTACTGCGCCTTCAATTCCTGTAAAGGGAACAAGAACAATGCAGAGCAACACAGCGTATCCTTTGTCGTCAGCATCCAGTTGACTCGGCTCGCCATTTACCCGCACGCCTCTCTCCTCTTTTCGACTGTTACCCCGGATTGAAATTCATAGATTAAGATTCTCAGTGAAAAGAAGGCGATGACGATAATCCAACATCACGTAACACTTTCGCCTTCCGCTCTTAATAATGCTAAAAATAAGGCTGACGATGAAGGAGACATGTGCCTGCGATGGCACGTAGCCAAATGCGACGTCGGAAAAACGTGACCCAAATGCATGCGCGGATATAGCCCATAGACGAACACTTTTACTGGATAATCAAGTTATAAATATACTCGTGTATCTAGGAGGCATCGAGCGAGAATCAGAAGAACGCTTACCCAGAACTGACGCATGGAGCTTCTTGATGGGTCGCGCAACACAGCAAGCTCTTTCTCGGCCGTCGTCATCCATTGCTCCAAGCGATCTGTTAGCGCCTCCTGATTGTTCCAGTTGTCCTTAAAAGCCAGTAGCCTTCTCAAAGAGGACTCGATGTCTTCTTGCAGCTTCACAATCACGTCCAGGGCTTCGCCGTATCGATCTTCGGGGTCTTCAATATTAACGAGGTCGCGGAGACCTCGCGCCACGTCGAGCAGTTGAATCAATCGTGCATGATGAGTCGCTACGTCCGATGATAGAGACTGAAGTGTGACGAATTGACGAGTTATTAAAAATTGAAATTTAAACTTTAATAATTTATTAAAGATTAATTAAATGTTAGTTGAAATTTAACTTAACAATATATTGAACTTTACAAGATATTCACAAACGTTAGTAGAATTATTGCAATTACCGACCTGATACAAGGAGATGTATTGATCATAGTCGATCGATGTCACTGTTTGGAGATCAGGAACGCGTTGATGCGCAACCTGGAGCCAGCCTCTCTCTTCCTTCACACCTTGTTCCAGAAGCATCCATCGCGACGTGGCTAATGCCATCTGTTGCGCTCTTGAAGCCGCCTGATCGAGCAATGCCGTCGCTCTGCCGTGAAGTTCCTCGTGCAGACCAGAGTGTTTAGCTCTTGTTTCAGGGTCCAGATTGCCCTCCAGCGATTCGAGGATCGCGCGACAGTGATTCAGATTGACAAAGAACTTTCTGTGCTTCTGCATCTCCTCCTGAAGATATTCCAAACTCATTACAGAGATCGGGCTGTCCAGTAGATTTTCCGCGATGTCGATGATCTGCGCGAATTCCTGAAGCGTCTGCTCGTACTCCTCAGCTAAGGCGAGCAACTGAAGAAGACGCTCCCGTTCGACGGATATGCCGTGTTCGATGACCTTCGTCATCTCGTGCGCGATGTATGTTTCCTCGGGGATAATCTTGCCGGGATGATCCCGCAGCAATTCGCGAGCGGCGTTTACGAGCTTGCTCGTCTTCCACATATGACAGCAATTCATATTCTCCAACTTGTCGAGTTCCTGCAGCTTCCATTGCGTGGAGTATTCGCTTTCGACTATGTGATCCAGCTGCTTGCGTTGCTCCTCCACCAATCTATAATATAAAATTGAATTTCTATCTAGAAAAACGTAGTGACTCTTCAAGAAAAGCATTTGAATATTTGTAACTTTGTAATAAGACATGTGTGTATAATAGACTATATTTTATATGTTCTGAAAAAAGTCACATGTCAATGAATACCAACTATCAGTAACATAACACCAATGTTATATAATTTCCCACTCAACAATGTAAATGCAACATAACGCGTATATTATACAACAATATTGTCGAGAGGGAAACTATAAACTATAACGTTGCTGTAATGTTATTGTTAGTTGAACAGATTAACAAATCTATGAAAATCTATTGTTTATCAATATGTTTACAGGGGATATCTCACCTGTATATATTGTTCACGCCATTCAGGAACTCGTCACATTTCGCGAGCTGACTGCTCGCGTGTTTCTCCCCGTCAGCGGTGACATGCTCGATGATCTTCACCTGATGCTCGAGAGCGTCTACGCATTCCTGCAATCTCTCCCGTTCCTCCTTCGGATAACTCGGCTCCACTTGTTTCCAAATATTATCGAGCTCACGGATACTTTCCTCCACGTGATTCACCTCGTCCTTCAGTTCGATGAACGTTCGAGCGTCTTCGTGCGAAGGTCCGGTCGGGCACTTCCTGTTCAAGAAGATTCGGTACTCGATGGTCTCTAACCAAGTCGAAATCGTCTCGACAACGGTGACGAGCGTCTCCTCGACGACCACCACGTCGTTCTCTTGAACGGCGTTTCGCAATTGCGCCAGTTCCTTGCGAACGTCTGACGAGCGTTCCTCCGCGAGCCTCTCCGTAGTGACTTCTTCCAAGTGCGCGATGTGCAGAACGTTGCCGAGGTGACTGGACTCATTGGTATTCTGCAGACTCTTCACCCGATCGGTAATCAGTCTGGTAGCCTGCATTGCCTGGTGTTGCGGCTTCACGCCGTACTCCTGAGATTCCTTCAGAAGAAAAGTTGCGGACAAAACGTGAGGTGATGGTGCTTTGACAGCGGACAGATGCGGCTCCTTCTTCTCATATTTTTCGCCGCCAGTCAGACTCGGCGGCGTGGATTTCTTGTCCGACTCAGATATCACTTCAGCGTAAGTCTTAATCTCCGTCCGAAACGGCTTGGTAGTTTCATCCTTGCTCAGAGTAGGTTGCTCGACTTCCACGGGTGTCAGTGGTTCTTCGGTGGTGTCCATTGGCTCAGGTGATGATTGCGTGAGTGGCGCTGTGGACAATTTTTGCTGGTCCGACGATATCAGCAACGGCTCTATTGTCGGTTTACCAAGCACGAAAGGCATTCGCACTTCAGGTACTGCTGTTGCTTCTGGAATGTTGCGACTCGAGTCGATCGCGAATTGATCGATCGTCGATGTAGGTACTGTTTTCGAGGTAGTTTCATCTGGTGTATCTTGAATGCCTCCTTCATCTCTCTTCGTGCTATCTATCACAGTTCTCGACGCAATATCCTCCGACTTCAAGTCTATCTCTAATCGAGATGTCATCTGAGGGGTACATTCGGATGCCACGTCATCCAAAATATCGCCTAAGACGTCTCCTACCGGAGATGTTTGTCTACCGGCGTTCTTCTTGGCAACGTCACTGTAGGAGAGCTTCAAAATAGTATCTTGAGACTCGACTTGGGCTTGCCCAAATATGGATCCAAGTTCGGTCTTGCTCGGCAGACTGATTTCCATGGTCTTATGCTTTCTTTTTCTTCTTTGGCGCTTCGCCGTCTTGCTGTCGTGCTCTGCAACACTCGCATCGTTATTAAGATCTTCAGCAATAGTGGTTTCTTGGGAAGTATCAGGCGACTCTTTGCTACCAGATGCAACGCTGTCGAGCGTATCGCTGGCGGACAGTTCTATGGTCGCTTGAACGTGAATCTCAAACGATGTGTCCGGAGTAGAATCCTTTTCCGATATGGAAGACGTCGTAGATCCCTTCGCCTTTGCGCCATCCTCCAATGACCTCCTGGGGCTCTCTCTTGTTGCGGGTAACTCAGGTAGTTGATCTCTCGTCTCTCTTTCGACGGGTGCTTCAATTTCTTCGCTACTCTCTGGAACCGTCGTGGGGGCGACTGTCGGCTGGACTGGTTCCGACTTGTCCGCGATTTCCTCTTCTTTCACCTCCTCTAAGGACCTCGCAGTTTCTGGTACTTGTACATCAGGTGCTGCTGGAGTTTCTAATAATTTCGTAGACACTACTTCTACCTCTTTCTTCGTCTCCTCCGAGATAACTGGCTCCATTTTTATGGAAGCTTGAGCCTGAGCGTCTACTATTTCGCCTATCTCTGCTTGAAGGTCCTCAGTAGATACCTCGACAGTGTGTGTTGGAATTTGTGTAGTCTGCTGAGATACTGAAGTGGTCTCGGTCGTTTGCTTTTCTTCTTTCGGTGACGTTTGAGCGCTAATTTCGCACGTCTCGGGAATATTCTGCACGCTCTCTTCGACATGCGGTATCAATTCCATTGTCTTGATCTGCACCGAAGTATCGAAGGTCTGGATTTTCTCCGGCGAACTGGTCTGCGACTCTTCCTCCGTGGTCTGCCTCGTCTCTTCGATGCTGGTTTGCGCGGATTCTTCGCACACCTGCGTAGGTTCAGGGCTAACGATCACTGGACTCGTCTGCATAGTGGTCTCCATCGTCGGTTCAGGCGATTTAGTTTGCATTTCGGTTTCCTGCAACTCTATCTGCCGAGGGCTCTCCTCGGGCGTTGTCTGAGTCTCCGTTGTTTCAGCCAGCGCTTCCGGTGCTGCAATCGTCTGAGTATCAATGTGCGAGACGTCTGGTTGCTCCGGACTAGACGGAATACTAGTCTGTATGTCCTTCTCCAGGGACTCCGGTACTTCAGGAGATGACGTTTGAATAGCCATCTCCTGCAGAGCAACTTTCTCTTCCACCGGTGACGGAGTGGTCTGTTGCTCTACCTCCATTACGGGATTTATCGCCGTTTGAGTCTCGCTCGCTATCATAGGAGCTACTTCAACGGGCGAAGTCTGCATTTCCGTGGACAGGATATCGATCTGAACTGTTTGCGCTTGGGAATCTTCCATCTCCGTCTCGACAACGGCATGTGGGACGTATTCTATCGGGCTGGTTTGCACGGCGAGTTCTTCCATCAGCGGCGCGGTAGGCGTCGCGGTCTGCACACCGGAATCTTCGACTTCCGGCGTCTCCTCCGCGATAGTTTGCGCGCCAAAGTCGAGGCCGGGTTCTAAGATCGTCTGCGTCTCGATATGAGTCTCTTCAGTTCTAGCTGTTTGAATCTCTTCTTCGAGAGTCAACGGTATTGGCTCAGGAGACGTTTGCGCGAATGTAGAGAGACTCTCCTGGTCTGCTTTCGGGGTGAGCGCGGTCGATACATCGCACATATCCACGGTAGTTTGAGTATTTGCGTCGTCCAATTCAACTTTGTGCGTAACGATACACTCTTCTTGCGATACTGTTGTCTCGATTTTCTCTTCTTCCATCTTGTCCTCTTGTTTCTCATCTTCTTTCGTTTTTTCCTCCTCTAATGTTTCAACATCTTTTGCCGCATTGTCCTCTTGCACTTTATCCTCTTCAGTCATTTTCTCTAGCTTGGGAACCTCTAAAGGAAGACTATCATCTGTGAACGGGGCATCGTCGCTACTAGATTTGGGCACCTGAGTCAGTTCACCTGAGTCGTCTCGAGTTAATCGTACTTTCTGTCTCTTCTTCTTCTTCCTCTTCTTCTTCGTAGTGTCCTCATCCTCTGCCGTGACAGATAATTCATCCATAGTTTTATCATCCGCTTGGTATCCGTTGTCCTCCGGTATGGTATGATCATCTAGGCTTAGAGACGATTCGGTGATGGACTTCATGATCTCGGCAACGTCCGGTTGCGGTTGCTCGCTAGCGTGCTTGGACGAGTCGGACGAGGGGATGATAATCTCCATAGACTCGGCAACTGACGTAGCGATCGAAGTGCTGGATTCCGTTTCTACGGGTTTTTCCGTCGGTTCCGGCTTAGCCTTGTGTCGTTTCTTTTTTCTACTTTTATGACTCGTGCTGTCTGACTTGCTCTTCTCCGATTCAATGTGAACGTCGACCTCCTTCTCCGCGGTTGGCACCTGTTGTTGGAAGGTCTCTGTTTCTTTCTCAGCTGTCAGAAAGGCGCTGGTTTGTACGATCTTATCATGTATCACCTCTGTCTTCTCTTTGTCCGCTGGAAGACTAATATCTACATCTTCCTTGACGATGCGGTACGGAGCAATCTCGGGCCTTTCTGCTCGAGTCTTAACAGACACCAAAGGCTCTGCTTCCTCGTCCTCCTTACGCACAGATAGAGATATCTCAACCTTGTGGAACACCGGCTTATATTCCGGCTTGAATGCTTCATCCTTGAAATCATCTTCCTCCTCCTTTATAAACAACTCTGGCGATATCTTTGGTTTCTCGATAAGTATCTCTACGGATTCATCAGGCTTGACAGCATCTGATTCGCTTGGCGGAGCAATAGATTCATCTTGTGGCTGCGACTTTTGAGATGAAGTCAATGTCGTGTCTTCCTCTTTGCTCTTGGATGGTTCGAACGACGCGTCTTTCTCTGATATTCCTGGTTTATCCTTTTCCTCAATCTCTTCCTCTAATACAACAGTCAATACATCGACATCTTTACCAGCCTCTATGGTGCTGCTATCGTCATGGTGCGTTTCTACTTCTACCGTGCCATTCTCTAGCTCGATACTGGGTGTTTCGCTCTTTACTGGTGCATCGTCAGACTTACAAGTAGCCTTGGTGACCACCGGTTCATCATCTGTTACGGCCGGCTCTAATGGGGATTTTATATCCGCTTGTGTTGCGCTAACAGAGACGTCTTCCACAGGAGTCTGCAAAACGTCAGACCACTCAGCACCGATTAGCAGCGCTTGACTATCGACCGTGAGTGTACCTACGCCATTTACCTCGGTAGGGAAATGCTCGTGTTTGTCCGTTGGTATCGTTTCTCTCGGCACTACACTTTCATCGTCGCGCACAAAAGAGACGCCCTCGTCAGCCTGTACGTTGATCAGACTTTCAGCTTGCGGCACGTCTCCTCTTGGAGATGGGAGCCTTTCTCCTGTCGCGGTTCTCGCAGATTCCGGTAACTCTACTTTGATATCAGTTGTTTCTATTTTCGAATCCGCCAATTCTATCGTAGGTTCCTGCAATGCTGCGCTTTCCTTCACTTGACTCTCGATATCCAATGTTTCAACTTCCATGACATCGTAGTCTTTCGTCGTTGGTGCTTCCGTCGCCTTCTTCTCTGTTTTGGCTTGATTGGCTGTGGTCACCATGTCCTTAGCGAACGGCCCGAAGAAAGGTCCCTGCATCGGGCTGCCGGGAGTACAAGGCTCCATTGGTATCTCTGGCCCCGTAGTTTTATGTTGTTCCACTTTAGTTTCAATCGATTTCTCTCCCGGGAGTAGAGTCTTCTGATCCTCGCTCTTAACTACATTGATACTGATATGAGGTATGTCCTGCTCATCGATCTCGACTTCTTCAGGTTCTTCGATTACTTCCTCAGTGGTGGTCTCTTTGCCGTCTATGATGGTGACTTTCCTAATGATCCTGCGCGTTCTCTTGATGACCCGTCTGGTGACCTGTTGCACCACGGCGTGAACGCTCGAAGTCCTTGTCTGGTATTCACCGCCTTCCATCAGTATCTCTTCCTCGACCGGCTGACAGCTGATATCTCCGATTTGACCTTGTGTCACCATATGCGTGTAACGTGGCTCGGACTCGTACTCTTCTACGTTAATGCCTTCGGTAGGTGCAGCCGTGGTAACTCTACCGCCGTACATTTGCCTCGTCGTGGTCTCAATGGTGCCGTCCGGCCTGGTTCTGGTCACGGTGACCTGCTGATCCCTCATCGCGGCCTCCGAAAAAGCCTGCATCATCGGCGACGCGTCTCCGAGCGCCGTCGACAGCGTGGATACGCGCTGCTGAGTGGTTTGTCTGCTGGTGACTGTAGTGCGTCGCAATTTCCTCACGATGATCCTTTTGGTGCCATCGGCATCGACGACCACCTCAGTAGTGACGTCGTCTGGCTCAACCAAAATCGTCTCGAAAGATTGCGGCGCGGCGTGAACGATGTTCAACTCGCTCGTCGCACTGTCGGTTTTTTTTGCGTCCTGGTACTTCATATCGACGACAATATCCTCGCCAGGCAGGATGCTCGATTGTTCCCGATGCGCTACTTCCTGGGCGAAACTTGGCGGCATGTACTTAGTCGCTATCTCGATCACGTCGTGATCCCCCTTCGTGGTTTTCAAAACCTTTATGGCCTCCTGCGTCTGAGCGCTCTCGCTTGGCAGCAAAGCCTGCGTGGTCTGCGTCGTAAGCGAATGACACGTAGTCGTCGACGGCATCTGCGTCGTGGACGTTTGTTTCGTGAGCTGTGGCTTCTTCTCGACAACGTCGTCGAGCAGTAAGCTTTGACCTGTCTGTAGGGAAACGTCAGCCAAAGACGGCGGACCGTCTTCCAAGGAGGAGTGAATCGAGGGCGCTTCGTCTAGAGTAGCATTGTCTCTTTCCGTCGACTCGTCGTCGTCGGCTTGAGCCTCTTCATCGTAGATCTCCTACGAGGATAACAATCGCCTTCAGAACATGTCTTGATATACTTGCGACATTCAAGCGGCTTGGTGTGATTACTGGGGGTGTTTGTGCTCTACAGTCTGAATGAGAAATGTTACTGGCTACTCGTCTTATGAGCGATAAATGTGATATTAGTTTCGCAATGTAGTTTCTTTTATTAAATAAACTAGGACGGAAGTTAGAACGGAGAATAGCATACCGGAGTTGGCCGATTTGACATCTTTCGTTAATTATGCGAGTCGTTAACGATTATTTTCTAACGATTTAATAAATGTTTCTCAGCACGGTCCTCGGCACGAACTCCTCCCGATGGAATTGTCTCAGAGAGCTCTATTGACGTTGTTACATTACAAAACTGTGATATCAAAGTGAGTCGTGTTTATGGGACATTAACGGACAGTATATCGTATACTTGTAGACATCATTATTTACGCCGGTATGATTATTTATTATTGACATATCACTAACAATAGTACGATATATAACTATAACGATTAACAATGGGGAATAAAGGGACGGGACATTAATGTAAGAATCCTTTAATTTTATATATATGAAGTATTACAGCAATGTGTGTATTAACATTCCTTAATTACATGCAGTGCCTATATTACATCCATCACCTTAAGGTAAACGAAAATACATAACAATTATGATATAAATAATAATGTACAGTGAGCTAAGAAATAATGTACGGTGCGTGGTAACTATAGTGAAATGACGAGAGGTGCGTGATGAGAAGCGCATATATGTATATGTCTTGCAGCGACGATGGTAAAAGAGATAGAGGAGAAAAAAAGAAAAATATATACCCAGAATAAAATGCTTGCTACCAGTTAAACTATCCATGTTCGTAAGCGTGCAAAAGAAATTGTTTAAGCTCGACGACAAGAATGATGTAGTGTGTCGTGAGCAATTGCGTGAACTCACTTGCCGCTTATTACAAAGAGCTCAAATGTTGTCTCCAATTGATTCAAACGACCGCGAGTATTGTTTATATATTATAACTATACGGGAAATATGACGTTTCTGACTCGTACTTGAGTGAAAGATACGCTCAAAAAAATCGTCTTGCAGTCATAACGAAAATTACGTAGATACGATAGATCAGCTAGGAATAAATGACTAGCAAATATATGTGATATCGTATATATTTTGAATATAATCAATATAAATGACAAAAAAGTAATTTATATTCGAATAATTTATATTCTCTTCAGCGAGTAAGTTTCTCCGCTAATCCAGATTAAAACCAGTCACACTTCTTATGAAATTGACTGTGGTAGACTAAAAAAATTAGCTCTTCCTAATTCACATATTTACCAAAATTTGCTCGCAAATATTACTATAGAATGCTGTTATTGCAAATACTACGTATCATAGACAATTATCTGGCAGATACAAGAAACAGCGATAAATTTCGGCTGTGACACTTAAGATTCTACCTGGACTAGCAAAACCTTTTTTTGAGTTTGAAACAGTTCGGCGCTTACGTCCGGTAACTTTTGATTTTACATGCGCGACTATTAATTAGCGATTTATAATTTAGCCTATCTATCTATACAGAAAATTTAATCCGCCCTACAAAGCTGCTAGCTTTGTAATAACGGCAACTGACAAGCCTCTTATTTTTTCTCAATACAGCACGAAGCTCTGGCAAGTTTCGAAAGGCGAGGATCGATTTTTCCATCCCTTTGTACCCTCTGTAATACTATTTTAAAGCACCGAGGCACGAAGAAGAGTGAAGTTTGCGAAAGCTCCCGAGCCCTGGTAAGCGTAGGATACCTGCTGCTTTTGCTGGAGACGACCGATTACATCCAAGAGAGCTTCCTTCAGCGTGGCCGCCAGTTCGCTTACTTCCGGCAGCGATTCGAGCTCTGATACTCGACGCGCGCGGCTCGCTAATTCATCCTGCAAAGTCTGCCCATTGTGGCAAGCGAGAGATCGGTATTAATTAGCATGCGAGGTACAATAACGTATTATTTAGTCGAGTTAAGGTAATGCCGACATAATGCAGTTTTCTAGTTTCTTCTTTTTTTCTAATTGGATGCGTCAAATTGAAAATACTTCTACAGAATGAAAGTACAAACATTAATGAATGGCTGACGTAAAACAGTTGCATGAAATCAATAAAAAATTTTTTTATAATCGGTCAATAAATAAAAAAAATTTTTGTTTATTTCATACAACTATTTAATATCACTCATTCATTAACATTTGTACTTTTATTCTTTAAAAGCACTTTCAATTTGACGCATTCAATTCGAAGAAAAGAGAAAATTACGAAATTGCATCATGTCGGTTTCCATCATCTTAAAATCTTTCTACGATATTCATGTTTTAGATTCAGTGCAGCTACTGGTATATTTGGCCGACATCGTAATTAGTTACGTCGACGGGCGAAACGCGATCCAACAGACCTTGTTGGTGTTGATCGAGTGTTGCTCGTGTATTTTCGATGCGACGTCTCTTAGCCAAGCGTCCGTCTCGTCAAGGAATAACCTGTAGGTTCGAATCTCCTGGTCGCGTCTTCCCCTGCCATCTCGCGCCTGCTCGAGGGCTGCCCTCCCCTGTTCCGCTTGATCGAGAAGGGCGGTAACTCGCGTGTGAATTCCCGTCAAAGCCGTCGACAGCCTTTGAGACTCGACGTCGGCGGGAATCTCACGTAATCGCCCTTGAAGTTGCGTCGCCTCCTCGTCGTAGGTACGAAGCTCCGCCAATACAGTCTGGCAGAAATTTTTCGATGTTTTATTCTTTTCTCTTTTATTTCCCTCTTTCGTCACTATTTTTGATCGAGCGCACTTACCATGAGAGACGATAGCATAGACTCTATGCTATCCTGAGGTAAGCAACCCATCGTTCCCTCGAGATTCGAGAGTCTCGCTTGCAGAGAAGCAAGAACTTCCTCGACGGTGCCCTGAAACACAAGTGGCCGTTAGCAACTTTGACGTCGACAAGACTTGTCGTTATCTCAGCCATGCACACACGACAGCACCCGCTCAACTTTCACGTTGCGTTTTAACATGTTCTTAGCATTGAGCACTTTTAGAACACCTGTAAGGTAAAGTGTTCGTATGAGACTGGGTTACCAGGCAGCACACTGCAAAACATATCTCTGACGAAGACACTCGACGATGTCGCGTGAGCTTTTTCGACATCTGTTACGGGACTTTGTACAAACACTCGTTGCTACACACGAAACAGTAACTCTTAACCACTTGCGCCGGTGACTTGGGACGTTCTCTCTTCAAACCGCGATGTCGCTGCGTCACTTGGTGCAATGTGTCCTTTCTTTCCGAAAATCCACCGCGAAATTTCACGAACGCCCGTTGAGCCGCCGATCGATCGCCAGCGCAAGTGATTAATGCAGGAGAACAATCTTCATGCGAACTCCCGGCAAATTCTGGAATACTTCGCTAACTAATTCGAATGCAAAGACCTGTCACGTAAAGTTGCCAGCAACGAGATGTCAAGAGGATGTCAGGAGTTGCTTTACGCATTAACTATCATTTCCCGCGTGTTAACTGCCGACGATTCATGATCGTTCTCTACAAGTCGCTTTGCTGATACTCGGTGACGATTGTTCTATCACTATCGATCCCGAGTACTACAAGCTACACGTACAACGACAATCATTTGAATATCTTAGTGTATATGCGCAACGTAGAGAGTCTTGCAGGGAGTAGTACGGGACTAACGTCCAGCAAAACGCAGTTCTTCACGGCTTATTGGATGTTTCGTACACGAGGACACATACTTGGAAGCGGAACGAGCATGCAAGTGATGCGTACTACACTTTGCAAAGGGCGACCGCAATATCGCCATATCATGCGAACGGCAAGAATCAATTCGCTACGCTAATGAAACTTGTGATCGGCCATCGAGAGACGAGGATGTCGCGACGTTTGTTAACCAATGGATTAGAGAAAGTTTTAAGTAATAATTAACTCGATAACAGCAACAGCAGGAGGGGAGCAACAGAGCAGCAACATATGTACGCACATCGCGGTAACTGACGAGTTACGGCATAAGAAAATCGCACACACTGGATACTCAAGTACCGAACAGGAAAAACGAAAACATAATCGTTACAGAAAAAAAAAGAAAAATATGAGAGACAGAGAGAGCGGTAAAACCAGAGATAAACCAATCCAGATATAACTAAATAACAACAAGTGTATATACATATACATGTATATACACATATGGCGGTGGACTTGATCAAACTCGACTAGAACAAGACCGAGCACTGGCAATGACGTTGATCGCACCTGGATCCTGCGTATCCTTTCAGCCTCGCCTTCGGCCGTCTCTCTTTCCGCCACCCCGTTCGGGCTGCAGCGTTGCACGGATTCCTCCCCCGTCTCTCTACCTAAATGCAGTTTGGATTGTGGACGAAGATGGGCGAAGGTCGACGACGAGGTGCTAGTACTGGGATGATCGGGACTTTGGAGGCTACTCGAAGAAGAGACCGCAGGACATTCCCTCGGGCTTACTTCAGCGTCTACGGATGACTCCGTGCGCGACTCGGTCTGCGGATGGTCGTGGGTGGAGGAGGATGACGGCGGAGGAGGCAAGAGGAGGTCAGAAGGTGACGGAATGTCGCTCGGCGACGAGTAATCCAAGGACAAACCCGAGTCGATCGTTGGATCCTCAGTCGCGCTGAGCGGCGGGCCGACCGGTTCCACCGTCCGCTCGCTCTCGCACGATAGGTAAGTGCTGTAATCGCTCCAGCTACAAATGCCGCCCGGCAAGTCGGCCACCATACGCTCTGTCTGGGGTGCACCCAGGAGGGAGCGCGAATTGCCGCAAGAATCCCGCGATCTACCGCCACCGCCGCCGCCATCGCCCGAATTGTCGCCGTCGCGGTCCCGCGGACGATGACGGTCGTCGGGTTCACGCGAGAGATTCTTTTTCGTGTGCAAGGCTAAGTTCTCAAAGTGATCGCGCTCGGCCTCGTGATAGGGTCGTTTGTCGGGCCAGAAGCCACCGTCGATGGAGAGGAATCGCGAGTTGTAGAAGTCGTCGGGTCGTTTCTGCAGGAGGGACTCTGGCGGAACGATGTCCTTGCGTTTTTCGGGTTTCAGGACCAAGATCTCGTCCGCTATGTAGAATTGTACTTTAGACTTGGGAGGTGCGCTCGAAAGATCGGAGCTTGGACTTTCCTGCTCGATGCTTGCGACGCGCTTGTCCTCGTCGTCGAAAGACTGTTGCGCGATGAAGGATAGTTTATCTAAGGATGGAGAATGCTTTATGACCGTGCCAGTCGGGTCACTCGATGGCTCCGCTTGTGGGGGAATTTCATTACTTGGACTGGATGTATTTGTTTTGTCCATTTTGTCTTCATCTGTGGATATGTTTTTATCAACGTTGATTATCGCCGATTCTTCCTTTATTTCCTTCTTTGTGAAAATTTCGTTATTTGGACTGGATATATTTGTTTTATCCGTTTTGTCTTCATTTACGGATATGTTTTCATCAACATTGATTGTCGCCGATTCTTTCTTTATTTCCCACTTTGTGGAAGATACAAGTGGTTCTTGATCTTTAATTTCTTCTTCGTTAGTTGCTACCACTGTTGCAGGCAAATTATTAGTATCGATTTTATCTTCAGGATACTGCAAAATTCCTGCCGGCTCGTTGTCTAATTTTTTATCTCCAACGTTATCTTCAACATTATTTTCTTCATTCTGCTGACTATCCGGTGCTACTGCCTCTTTAAAGGAGCTTAAAGTTTTAGCATTTTCTGTAATAGGTAAAGATTCAACCTTCTTAGAGTCCGTCACAAGAATATTCGTAGAATCCTCTTGAGTTGACTTGATCGTTTCATCGTCTTGTCGTTTTTCTTTTTTCGGTTTAGATTTGTCTTTTTGTTCCTGTTTACCCGCTATCGGAGTTATTTGCAGAAGCGATGTTTCATTTTCGACTGCAGCTTCTGATTTCTTCGTACATTTTTCAGGTTCCTCTACTTCTACAGCCTGTATTTCAGTTCTCGTCTCATTGTCCTTCTTTAATTCTGATGCAATGTCTATTTTGTCTTCAAGTGGCACAATATTTACGGTTTCATCTGTTAAGTTAACTACCTCCTCGGCTTTAACTTCTTGCGTAATGTTAGTCTCGCTAAATGAATCAGTAAATTTACCTCGAGAGAAATCCTCTTCAGTAGGTTCGATTTCCTTCTTTTCAGTTACTTCGTTCCGCGACGAAACCTTTGCTTTTTTCCTCTGTTTTCGTTTTGCCGATTTCGTGAGTTTAGCAATTTCCTTTTGCTCCGTAACGTTTTCTTCCACATTTTCCAAATGTGATTCTTTAGGTTCACTTGTACTTTCAGGTTTGTCTACCGTCGTCTTCTGTTCGACGCTTCCCTGTTCTGTAATTTTTTCCGGTACAACCAACTGTTCAATGTTCTCTTGTTTGTTAGTATTCTCTGTTGAAATTTCTTCATTTTCCAGACTTGTAGGTGCGTTGTGCACCATGTTCTCAGCAATTCCTTCTTCGAGTTTTATTTTTATTTCGTCGTCTAGTTTTGGCTCTATCGGAGATTCTATTTTCTTCTCCACATTTTCATCCACTGCCTTTTTCTCGGTATCAGCTACATTTTCGATCGTTTGCTCCGATGCAATCACTTTCCCCTTTTTATTTTTCGACTTTTTCTTCGATTTCGTAACACTGCTCTTCTCCGTACTTGGAAATGCCTCTGTATCCTTATTTTTAATATCTTGCGCAATCTCTATATCTGGCGCTTCTTTATTTGATTGATCTTCGATAGTTTGAAGCTCTTGACTTTCAGTCACGATATTTTTCAATTGAGTCTCATCAGGCGTTCCGCTCTCATTAGCAGGTTTTGGATCTTCCTTTATTGTTTCCTCAATATTCTTTAATTCCTTTTGCTCTTTAATTTCGGGTTGTTGTTTCATCGAGTCTTTGCCGGACTTGTTCTTCTTGGCCTTAGCCCTCTTCCCTTTAGGTGCTTCATCTTGTTCTGATTTTGTTTCTTGAATAATTTTACTTTCATCCCTTTGTATCTCACTAATCTCCGCAGATTGTTTTTTGTCCTTTTTATTGCGTTCATCTTTTTTACGTTCGTTTGAATCTTTCTTCTGCTTGGACTTGTCTTTGCTCTTGGTCGTTTTGACGATTTCTTTTGGAACATCTTCTTTTGAAACATCTTCTTTAATGACTGTCGTCAATTCGTCCATTTGCTTCTGTTCAACCTCTTGTTGCCGTGCAGGCTGCTTATCCTCAACTTCTCCCTTGGCTGCAGTATTTTCTCCGCTTTGAGATTCCGTATTTAATTTAATCTCTTTATCCTTAACCGAATCTGAAGCTTCTACAGTCACATGTCCATCGTCTCGTTTGTCGCTTCGAGAACGCGATCTGGAACGTCTGGAGCGTAATTCCTTTCGATTAACGAATTCCATGAAACCTTGATCGTCCACTTGTACCAACTTCTCAATAGGCTCTTGTTCGGGTACTTTGTCCACATAAATTTGAACATGTGTCGGAGGTCGCTGTTCGACGTTCTGATCGGCTTTACGGGAAATTTGTTCGAAACTAGAAGCGTTGTTAACTTCGGGCGATTCCGCGGATTTTTTGCCAACTATCGCGGCCCATGTGTTAATTTCCGGCTTGGCGCACGAAATGTCTGTATCTCTCGAGTCTACAGCGCAGTGGGAGTCAGGATAAACGATCGATGTCTCTTCCTCCATCTCTTCTACCCAAGGAACCGATTCGATTTGGGGAGTGGATTTTGCAACGATTGTCTCATTATCAGCAATTTGCCGTACTGTCGTTGTCTCATCGATTGATATAATCTCCTGTTCCGAGAGGTTTTGCAATTCCTCCGCATCCGCATTTCTGCACGATTCGTCGAGAACGGGTGCTCTCACGTCGATCACTTTATGATCAGACTTTAGCGGTACGGGTTTGATCAGATATATTTCCTCTTGAGAAGCCTGAGGAGAAGTCCGTCGGGAAGAGGCTGCGACTTGCGCGTAAGACTTGCTTCCTTCCCTGAGTTGTTCCGACGATTCAGCGGATTTTTCCACGACAGGTTGCTCGACAGCTTCTTCTGCCGTTGCCACCTGCGATTCCTCAATGACATTTTGACTGGCTTGTGTTTTTGATGGAGTTGCACATATTTCTGGTTTCAATAGAACTTCGCACGAATCGTGCTCGATTGGTGTTTCGGGTATTTGCTCGAAGACACTTGGGCCACTGTCAGTTGCATCTTGACAGACAATAGTGGACATTTGACTACTTAAAGAATCGTCTTCGGGAACTGTAATTGTTTCTGTCGTGCTCTTCGTGCCAACAATGGCTGCCCACGATTTGGCGTTCGGATTTAATCGACTGTCGTACTTGGGCATCTCATCCTGTGAATCCTGTTGCTTCTGTACAATCGCCGATACCTCAGCTACATTTGGTTCGATCTCTTTGATTTGATCTTTGGCAGAGACATTGTCATTCATTTTACCGTCGCGTTTTGCTAATTTATCTTGGGCAGCTTCAGATTTCTCGCTTTGCTTCTTGGATTTCTTCCTAGATCTCGGTTTAACTTCCTCACGTTTCGGAGACGGTTTCTCGTGTGCTTCTAAAACCGTATTCTGCTCCTTTTGTTTCGATGCGAGTTCTTCTGGAAGAAATTCCGATTCCTCGGTCTGCTGCCTGTCCGCTATCAATAGATTCTCCACTTCCTTTGTTTCGGCATCTGTTGCTTTTACTTTAATCTCCTCCAATTGATATTGTATCGGCAATGACTTGCTTTCAGTGACAGCTGCTTTAATTTCTACTTCATTCTGTTTCTTGGATCCTGCTTTAGACTTCGCCTGATCCTTTATTTTCGCATCTTTCGTGTGCTTCGATTCCTTCTTCTTCTTCGATTGACCTTTCGCTTTGTCGATTGGTTTCTCATTGTTCACGGTCTCATTTTGAATATCTTTTATGCCGGCAAGATACTCATCCTTCACAGCAATTTCGGTTAGGGCCGTCTTATTTAAAACTTGAATCTCCGCTTTTTCCTTCTCGATCTTTTCCTTCTGCTGTTCGACCTTTTCCATCTTTCCAATCTCTTTATCTTCTTTCTCAACTTTGCTTTCCTCTTTCACTTGAGTGTCTGGCATGTCGAAATCGTCATCAAGTGTTATCTCTTCCTCCAAGAGAGTCATCCAAGCGTCGTCAGACTCCAAATGTACGGATGGTGTCATTGTTGGTGTCGCTTTAGTTCCTGACTTCTCCTCCACGACTTCAACTTTATCTTCCGCAACAATTTCGTCTACATGTATATTCGTGTCTGTTATCACATTAGCATCCGTCAACTGAGTGTCACTAATTTCTCCTATGGGCGATTGAACGAACTCTTTTGAAGTTTCGCCGATTGGTATTGAATCGTCAGTCTTAATAATTAAATCTGTTTCTTTAGATGGTACATTATCGATAATCGTGTCAAGTATTACTGTGCCTTCAGATAATTCACCACACGGCGGAACTTCCTTAATATTGAAAGTATCTTTGGAAGATTCTCCTTTTATCTCCTTTTCCTCTTTCTTATCTTGGTTATCGACGCAACTATCCGTCAATACTTTAGCTGTAATTTCGTCCATCGTTATTTTTTCCGGTTCAGATGTGTCATCGAAATCATTATCGATAATCATTGGTTCATCTAGCATACTCATCCAGGAATCATCGGAAACTAAATGTACCGTCTGTTTTACATTCTTCAGCTCCTCATCTTTACCTTCATTGATTAATGGATCCAACGTCTTGTCCGACAATGATACCTCTGCGATTATTGTAGCTTGAGGTGCGGATACTTCGAGACTTTCATTCGTTTCTGTCACTTTAACTTTCTCTAAATTAATTACAGTTGTACCTTCTTCAAAGTCGGGCACTGTATCTTTAGACGATTGTTCTTCTTTTATCTCTTTTTCATCTTTTTTATCTTGATTATCGATGCAACTATCCGTCAATACTTTAGCTGTAATTTCGTCCATCGTTATTTTTTCCGGTTCAGATGTGTCATCGAAATCATCATCGATAATCATTGGTTCATCTAGCATACTCATCCAGGAATCATCGGAAACTAAATGTACCGTCTGTTTTACATTCTTCAGCTCCTCATCTTTACCTTCATTGATTAATGGATCCAACGTCTTGTCCGACAATGATACCTCTGCGATTATTGTAGCTTGAGGTGCGGATACTTCGAGACTTTCATTCGTTTCTGTCACTTTAACTTTCTCTAAATTAATTACAGTTGTACCTTCTTCAAAGTCGGGCACTGTATCTTTAGACGATTGTTCTTCTTTTATCTCTTTTTCGTCTTTCTTATCTTGATTATCGACGCAACCATCTGTCAATACTTTAGCTGTAGTTTCCTCCATCGTTATTTGTTCCGGTTCAGATGTGTTCACTGTATTCAATGTCGCTTTTCCCTCGGTAGCTAGTGGCACCTTTTCTATTACGGAGTCTAATGATATTTCGGTATCATCCGATGAGATTGATAAAGATTTCTCAGCGACGGATTTAGCTCGCATCCAGTGCGACTCGAATTCATATAAACTGGCGAGAGGATATTTCGGCGCCTCCATGATAAGAGCATGCCTTCTGCAACTAATGTCGGCCTCTTCTTCGTTCGATTGCTCGACAGGTTTCATCACTGATTCCTGCACAATTCTCACCATACTCTCCGGCCTTGCTTGGACAACAGGAGCGAGTGGTTGCGGCTCTTTTATCACCTTAACGACCTTGAAATAACGATAAAAGTTACTTTCCGCGTGATTGTAAACGTGACGGTCCAAGGCATAAGGCTTAACGAGATCTAATAAATACTCGGGCATTATCTGTTTCCTTGCCTTGGTAATTTCGGGTGTGCCTTCTCGTTCTATTTCACACTTCGCCTCAATTGGTACTTTTACTTCTGTCGTTTCCTCTCGAGTATTCTTAGTTACTACTTCGACATTGATTTTCTCTTCATCCATCCGATCTTTCTCTTTCGAAATTTGAATATTCGATGTACTTTCGTTAACTTCGTTATTTAACGTGACATTGTTTTCTTCAGCGGAATTATTAATATTCTGATTTTCTATAATAATGTCGTTCCGTAAAACAGTGTCATCAGATATCGTTTTCCTCATCGTGTTATCCTTCTCGCATTTTTCCTCAGAAACTACTTCCGACTGATCTCCCTGTTGTACGAATTCGTTCGATGAAATCAGTTGTTCCTGTCCCGTCATTTTATCATTCTCGTCAATGATCGATTTCTCTCTCCTCTCCTCGGGCGCGGTGATCACCGGTGATCCCTCCGAGATGTCCCGATCCTTCGAGATTTCCGGACAAACTCTCCTCCTATCCTGCACGCTACCGAACAAGGTCGACTCGTCGCACGTCACGATGTTCTCGGTGAAAATGCTCGCGAGGGAAGTTGAACCTACTCTTTGAGAATTAGTCGCTTGATCGGCCGATTGCACCGGGCAATTATTAACGGGATTTGCGTCACTCGGTACCCTAGCATAAGTGGTGGTAAGACTAGCCTCTACGGTCTCGGGGCGCAAAGTGATCAACTCGGTAACCTTCGAGCCTACGATTTTGGGTAAGGGTATGTTTTCTAAAATCTCCACCGACTTCACGGACTTGACATCCGGCGGCTTGACCTTCACGGATCCCGGAACGCTGGTGGTGGTGGTAACTGTTGTAACCGTTTTCTCGATAATCAGAGCTTTCCCTGTCGAGGAAGGTTGCGGACTATCGTTACGCGTCTCATCCTCGTGTTCCCCGAATACTTTGGCTTCGACCAAATCGCTCGAGAGCTTGGAGTCGACTTCGGTTTTTGCTACGGTCTTCTCTGATAATTCTCGTGTCTGTTGGATCTCAGGACTTTCAATTTGCGGACGTGAGGATTGGTTCTCGTCCAATTTCTCTTGGTCGATCTCGCGTTGGTCTGTTGGACAGGTAGCATGTCTCGGAAATTCTTCCTCCTTCGTTGAAACGTCTCTGGGAGCGATCTTCTTTCCAAGCTTATCGCGAGAATGTTTTGTCTGTTCAACTGCACATTCAGCCGACTTAAGTTTCTCCTTCTTTGTGTGCTTTGGTGTACTCTCTTTGGTCGCGAGATCTTTCGATTTCCCAGTGTCCTGCAGTTTTCTGATTAAAGAATCCTTAACGATTGCATCGGCTTTAACTTCTTCATCTTTGGCAACTGCTTCTTGCGGAGAACGATCGAGTTTTTCATTTTCAACAAGTTTACACTTTTCTTCTATCTTCGTAACAGCATTATCAGTCCTTAGAGAAGTCTCGAATACCTTAAGCAAAGTTTCTGCGGCAGGAACGATTGTAGCCACATTTTCAAGTTTTGTGGGAACAGATGTTTCCGTCTCCACAGTCGCAGTCGGGATTGAATTCGACGTAGGGACAGTTTCGACAAACTCTGTGCTTTTGTTGTGTGGTATATCTTCCTTCACTGGTGCAATCTGTTGCGCAGGTTGCAATTCTGTCGTGGCGACTTCATCCTTCGATTTTAATTCCCCGGGTTTCGTATTACGCGCCTGTTGAGCGTCCTTTGACTTATCCTTTGACTTACCTTTTTTCTTACTCTTTGACGTAGCCTCTGGCGCGCGTTTATTAACTTGAACATTCGCCGTAATTTCTTTTTCGTCTGTTTTAACAGACGTTTTAACGTCGGTGTCTTTGGCATCCGATTTGGACTGAGTTAGATAGCTGTCGTCGCTTACTGACACGTCTTCTTTAACGAAATGTGTTTTCTCTGCTGGTTGGACGAAAGTTTCCGCTATAGGCTCGATTAGAGATTTGGATGAAGATTCTATCTTGACTTTATCCTCTTCCCCGGTCGATTTATTTTTACTCTCAACTGGCAGCGGTACTTCGACGATAGCTTCTCTCGGTTTATCTGTATCTTGCGTACTAGACTTCGTTTTATCAGATCTTTTCTGTTTGCCTGTTTTCGTCTGACGTTTCTCCGTTTCTCGCTTCTCAGTTTTTTCATCGTTCGTATCGCTAATGAAAGCTTTCTTTTCACTTATCGTCTCCGGACTCTCTGGAGACATTGCACTTTCTATTTTTAATTTAGCGTCCGCTTGACGATGCTCCATTCTTTCGTTTTCAATCGACTCTTTAGCTTCAGTTTCATTGCGATCTATTTTATCACTCTTATGTATGATATCAGTTTGTATTATTTCTTCAGTTTGCTGATTAATTTTAGACGACAAGACGATTTCCTTGGGCACTTCTTTAAAATCGGTCTCCTTAGTAACTGTTGTTGGCGTCTCTACAATTCTCGAAATTTCTTCGGTTATTTGTTCTGATTTCGAGACAATCACTTTCTCTGCGTTATCTGAACACGTTAAAACTTTCGTTTCATTTAAAGCTTCGCTTGTTGGCACTGTCGATGACGTAAGATCGATAGTGACCTCTGTTTTCATCTTACCTTTAGAGGTTTTATCTTTCTTGCGAGAATTAGCTTTACCTTTCACGTTGCCGTTCACCTCAACAACTTTTGCGCTGTCGAGTACTTTTGGCTTAGGATCTTTGACTTCAGCATCAACCAACGATTTGTTAGGTTCGGGAGGACTATTTTTGAGCATCTCTTTAACACCGTTTTCCAGCTTCTCCCGATTCTTATTATTACACTCGACTTCAAGCTTCAGTTCTTTCGACTTTGTTTTGCTCTTCGATGATTGTTCCTTCTTCGACGTGTCTTTCTGTCTTGTCGTGCTTTCGGCTTTCGTAGTCACGCTTGGTCTCTCAATTATATTTTTCAACGGAGCCTTTTGAGTGTCCGATGATTTTGCAATTTCCGTCGAGCTGTTTTCGTCGACGATATTTATTTTCTCTTTTGTGTCATCGCTCGGAACATTCGATTGTTGCTGAACTGTACTCTCTGCGCTTTCTCCGTTACCTTCTTTCATATTCTTGCCTACTTTATTTTTGTGCTTAGTTTTAGTGTCAGATTTGTTATGATTAACGTGGCTATCGTCGGTAATATAAGGTCGATCTTTCAGCTCCTCTTTGGTACTACCTTTCCGGTCTTTCTCCTCGCCTTTGGAGCTCAAATCTTTCGTGTCATTGATATCATCTTTAATTTTTATGTTATCCTTAAGAGTGCTTTGATCTGGCGCTTTAACCTGACTCGACAATATGTCTTGTCTGACTGGAGTATTTTCTTTTGCTCTCGCCGCTTCTTTAGATTTTCCGATTTTCTTGGATTTTTCGCCGGACTTGGTCTGTTTCTTGTCCGTTTCATCCTTAGATTTGTCCAGAGTCTCGATAACGGATTCTCGAGACTTGTTCTGCTCTTTAAGCTTGTCCTTCTGAGACTTCGCTTTCTGCTTATCCATGTTCTCGATTTCTTTTAGCGCTTTGTCAATTTCATCACCGCCCGTCTTGCCCATCTTTTTCTTTTTCGGCTTGCGCTTTTTCTCTTGTGCGCTCGTGTCTACTGAATCGATCGTTCGCTTCTCCTGCTGCACCGGCTTTTCCTCTTTTTTGTCTGGATTGTCGACGATCTGGTCTGACATAGATTCATCGCGTGCCTCTACGATTTGTTTCGGCGGACTCGATTTCTCCTTCTTCTGCCTCTCCTTCGACTTATCGACGGGATTCTGCGATTTCCTCTCATCCGCTTGTTTGGGTCTCTCGTTCATGGATTGTTGCTTCTTCTTCACCTCCCGTTTCTTCATAGTGTCCCAATCGTTTTCTTTGGATTGTCTTGATTGCTCGAGTTTTGCGAGTGGCTGTTGCGAATCTTTTCCTATAATCTTGGATTCCTGCAACGGCGATAATTCGCGAGACGATAGCGATTCCTTGGGCGAATAGGATCGCTCCTTGCTCGGCTGCTCCACAGCCGACGTTTTACTGACGACGCGCGTCGGAGTGACACGCGGACTGAGTCCCTGCGACAGGATTTGCGCATATGAGAAGGTTTGGTTTTTGGTCTCATTATTAATCAACACATCCTTCCCTTCCGTTTTACTCGTTGTGGAAGCTTCTGCTACGTTTGAAACGCTCACAACGGGCTCCTCCTGCTGCTCGGACTTATCGATGATAGATTCAGCTGCAACTGTGACCTCCGATTGCCTGACCACCTGCATCTGAACGGGCTTCTCTACGTTTTGGATCAATATCGGAGCTGCACATCTCATGTCGCCAGCAGCAGGACACTGTTGCTGTTGCTGCGGCTGCTGCATCTGAGCCTGCTGATAAATCTCCGTCGCTGAAAGATACGCGGTCTGCGCGACGTAATGTTCGGGGGCGTAAGTCAGCGAGCCGTTGTTGTAGGGATTCAAGTTCATCGAGTCGAGATGTTGCTGCACCTGCTGGTGGTGATGATGATGGTGATGATGATGATGGCCGGCGGACGGCGCGTAAACGTACGAACTCACCGGATACGCTCCGAGCTGAGAGCCGATGAAGCCAACCAGTTCTGGCTCCGGTATTATGTAGTCGTAAATCTCCGCAGGCTGTGGCTGTCGCGGCACATCTTCGTAAGGCTTCACGTGGTGCTGCAGCACATTGTAATCCTCCAGAGCCTTGTCAGTCCAATCGGTTGACTCGGGCTTAGTATAATTCTGCTCGTCGACTTTCTCCGCGGAGATATCCGGCGATTGGCAGTAGGCTTCCGTGACCTGCACGTTTTCCACCTTCTGCGCGGACACGACCGGTTGCGGAGACTCGGTGACCGGTTGAGGCTCCATCACGTTTCCGGTTACTTCCACTTTAACAGGAGTCTGTTCCGCACGCGGAGCTTCGGCACGACCACGTCGCGATTCCCCGGAGAGAGGGACCATTTCTTGCCTGGGCGGCTCCGCGGGACTCGCAACGTTCATCTGCGTCGTCTGCAAGCATCCGCGAAGGATGTCGGCGTAAGACGTGGAGCCAGGCACCCACATGGGGCTGGGTGAACGACCTCTTCGATCCTCGTGCGGCACTAGGGTGTTCCTCGACGGTATTTCCGCCCGTGCCTCTTGCTTGAAATTCGCACCGGGCCGGGGATTGTCGTATTTCTTGTCGACCTCTTCCTCTCGAGCCATCAGCGGCTCTTTCGTTCTAGGCGAGTTCGTCTTGCGCGTAGGTGATCGTCCTCGACGAGCGGCAGTTTCGACGACGACTTCGGGCACGTCTTGATGATCGTCCTCCGCGCCGACCGCACTCTGATCCTGCACCGTCTGCACGTGGGTCTCCGTGTGCGGCTGCGGCTTCGGCTTGTCCAGGTTCGCGTCACCTCTTTGAGCTCGCGCCTTCGTGACTTCGCCAGGTGGACACTCCGCGGTCAGCTTCTGCACCCGTGTGATCGCAGGCCGCAACACCTGCGTCGTCGTGGCCGTGGCGGGAGGAGTGGCGTCCCGCTGTTGTCTGTACGGACTACAGTTTCTCGAGCTTGGGCTGGTACGACCCGCTGCGATATCAGCGTACGAGGCCTGGCCGATGAACCGGTACTCGTTGGTGGGTACGTAGTACGGGTCCACGGCATGTATCTGATCCACCAGGATCTTGCTGCGTTGCTTCCAACCCTCCATCCGTTGCTGCAGGTTCTGCGTTATCCGCCGCAGAGGGTCAGCCAAGGCACAGCAATGGAATACATATATACTATGTCAATTTCGTGGAGTCTCTTTACTGTCATCGTGGGATGGGGGATGAGAGGTGATATAGCTTTTTTTTTTTAAACCAAGATCATTCGTTCGAGCATATCGGTATAGCCTATCGACAAACCTCTCTCTCTCTATTGAGATGCGCGAGGCACTTAAAGTCAACGTAATGGGGTTTTCGTGAATGAACGTACACTCGACCACCGACTGGCGATTAAACGGACCTTTTATTTCCCTTGCTCAATCACGTCGTATCGAAGCATAGACATTAGAACGAAGGACGCGCGCATATATGATAACGTAATCGCGTCCGTAAACTCGTGAAGAGTGATATCTATTAGAAAATCAGTGCTCGATAAAAACTTAATTAAAAAAAGACAGAGATACGTGGAGATACTAAAAACAGAGTTGCTCGAGCTCATCGAGGCACGTCGACGACGAAGACGACAGTCGGCTGACGATCGTCCGGGCCAATCGTTCCGCCTTCGTCGTCTTCATCGTTGCCTCCGATTGAGTTTGGCGCGTGGAACTGTATGCATGGGCGGTCATCGTCGTCGTTATTCTTCAATGGCCACAGCGGCGAATAATAGCATGCATCATCGTTGTTTCGCGGAATCGCGGACCACACGTGAAGCTCGGCGATTGAAAGTAACGACGACGAGAACCGTACACGGGGGTAGATCTCTATTGTCATGGGTCCAAGGGCTCCAAGTCTGGTGTGCCGCGCTGCACGAGTAGCTTCGACCTTTCGGCGCGTGCCTGGATTTTACTTTGCAAGGACTTGATTTTCTCGCGACAGACCTGAACGAACGCAAAACGAGAGCGCGTAACACGTCGAACGAGCGAGAGAGCCGGAGCGGGGATTGTTGGCGATTTCAACAGGAGGGATGTCGAGGAGCGGGACAGCACGTGGAGGTACGGACATGACCAAGTGGTGACGGGTGATGTGAGCGAAGTGGTGGCGACGACGAGTCCGGTGGACAAAGAGGACGTAGACGACGTAGATGAGATCGCAAGTGAGGGACGAGATACGACGACGACGAAGACAGCGTACGAGGAGGATGATAGCGGCAGAAAAGGAGCGCAGGCGAGATTCCGTTGGAGGAGGCGAAAAGGGTGTGAAGAGGGGGAGCGGGGGGTGTAGTAAAGAAAAATTCATAAATGAAATATAACTGGTCAAATGAGAGCAACGGAACGATAACAAAACAGAAAGTAACGCAAAGTCGTAATAAAAAGAGAAAGAGAGAGCGAGAGAGAAATTTCGGCATTCTGTCTGCGTGTCTGTCTCGTATGGTCTTTTGACACGCGAACGGAGGTCACTTGATTTTCTTGCGCGACTCGCACATGTTCTCCCGAGTTGCACGGGTGTATCGCAAAGGCACGGAGATCACGTAAGGGATGCATAAACGTGTGAACGGTGCGTGACACGCTTTACGTGATTGTGCGACAGTACTTCGCGCTTTGCTACGTGGTCTTTCATTCTAGAATGTAAGCGGCGTATGTGCGTGATGCTTATTTACGTACACACGCGCGCACACACATAGACAAGAGTACGCATGTAAGAAGAAGGAAATATTTATATATGTATATATATATATATACATACAGGTACATATATACGTGTGAGCGTATACATATACGAAGGTGTTGCGCGATGTACACGCGTGACGAGTTATAAACAGTAAAACGATAAAAAACCAGAAAAAAGGAACACAACACAAGCAAAATCAAGTAATCCCCTTCGGAACGACAGTAGAACAGGTGTCGTAGATAAGTGATTTTTTGAGCTCTAGGGTAATGTCCTAGGAAGTGTGTGAACTATACGTGTGTGTATACGTTGGCAATTGTAAGAAAAGAAAAACGAAACAACGTAGTTAGAACATGATACCAACCAGTACCCCGTAAGCGATGTACCACCACGATGAACACGAGACCGAATACTTTCGAGATTCGATCGTCTCAATTAAAAAACGTGTGTAGTTCATTATTATATGAGCAAGAAACATCGATTTTATGTCTTCCGCGCAGTTTATCGAACAAGGAAGTAAAGTGCAGGATAGGCAAGTTTAGTAAATGTTAGTGAGTGAGGTGATTATATTTGGTAATAAGGCGATACGGTGGCAATTTGAAAAATTTTGTATAAAGGCCGGTTCGCACGATGAGAAAAGATCATTTGAGACCTAGCACGAAAGAATTAGCGGTAACTAATGAATCAAGTCCTCGGCGATGAAGCGATGTCGGTGCGTGTTTGGTGAGACTGTGAGATTTCGGCGCGTGAAGTTATGAAAACAGGATATATATGCAAACGAGAAGGCAGGCTGCGGAATAAGAGGTACAACACACGAGGGAAACATCTTGAAGATTTTGAAGTTAGCAGTTGCTTCTGCAAGAAACGACTGATCGTTGTCGAGCAATGACAACTTATTTAAGATGTTTCCACCGTTAGTTGCTTGCACACATGGTTATCAACCATTTTCTAAATACCAGTAAGACAACTAGTAATAATTATTTTGATGATCCCAAATGCAACTTGCAAATTCTCACGAGATGTCCACTTTAGAAAAGATTCTAAAATGTCCTTTTACTTGTTCTATCTGAAAATCTGTTCTTCCTTTGGATAATTAAAAATGGTAGATAACTCGGAAGTTGGTTGTTGTTACACATGATTAATAATGGCTCGATCGACGGTTAGTCAGAGGTCACCGTGCGTTCTGATCGCGCGACTGTTTTCTTTTTTTTCGCATGAGAAAAGACATGCCCGGCCGCGCCCGGAAACGCAGAAAACTACCCCCGACGATTCGCACGCGCGAGACAACGTACGAGAGGAGGAACCGCGTTCTCCTTGGTGGTGGCTTCGAGTTGGTATCGAGCAAACCCAAAAGTCAATTGCTGCTTCAGCGCACTGGTGCAGGTGGTAGAAAAAACAAGGGAGAGAGAGGTGTGCCTACCTGTTGCTCTTGCAGAGCTTTCTCTCTGTCATTCGGCAGATACGTCGGGCTGAGCACCGTCCTCAGCTGCTGCTCCACCTGCACGATGTGTTGGCGCAGCTGCTGAATCTCCTGAAATGGAAACAAGACAATCTCGCTCGACACAGAGAGGACAAGTCGCGAGTGATAGGCAAGGGAGCGGCGCGCAAAGTCGCCGTTTCGCCCTGCGGGATCGCTAACCTGCTGGTACTGATCTATCTGCGCTAAACAGACTTCCAGAGAGGCCGTCTGTTCTTTGACGGTGCTGTGGAGGGCGTTGAGCTCGGCGATCAAGTCGTCGGCGGTCTCTTTGACCCGGTTGTCGCCGCCGATGCCGGACCTGAAATGCACCTCGAGCTTCTCCACCGAGATCGTGATCTTAGTCTTCTGGATCGCGATGTCGCTGAGCATTTTCTCGCGAATGGCGTGTTGATCGCGCAGCGGCTTCTTCTTATTCTGCGGCGACTCCAATGTCTGCCTGGCTTTCTCCATCCAGCTTCGCACATCCTTCATCTTCCTCTCGCACTGCTCCCATTCCTCGCTGGCCTCTTGCAGCAGTGCGTTCTGCAATACGCGCAACAATTTGCGGGGATAACGTTGTGATGACAACCGGCTATCCAAACGCTGCCCTATACACTAACCCTTTCCAATAGTTGACCCTCCACTTGCACCTTGCCCTCTTCTGCCTCCGCCAGCTTCTCCGGCAGATCGCCCACGCTGGTCACCTGACCGATATTCTCCAATTCTCTGCCCATGTCGCTGAGATTCTTGTTCACCTGCTTACAGCTTTTGACCGCCGTCTACAAAACGAAGCAAGCGTTCAGCAGACGAACGTCAGCGCGCCGTCGTGTTAGACTTAGAGCGACGACGGGATCTCGCAGACGGTCGTCGGCACATACCGAATATTCGTGCAGTCTCTGTCTGGCTTGCACAAGAGTGCTGAGCTTCAGTGGCTCGACCAGGAACTGTCTCTTCTCCTCGGTCCACGCCTTGACAGCCTCGTAGAGCGTGAGGAATCTCTGCCACGCGTCCATGGTGTCACCCACGATCTGCTTCTTCTCTTCCAGCCAGCTCTTGACTTGCGCCAGCTGCTCGCTGAGATTGGTGATCGTGTTGTTGATCAGTTCCTTCTCCGCGTCGTCTCTCGTGTTCTCGACGATGATTCGTCCGTTTCTCGTCAGTCGTTCGAGCTTGTCGCTAATCGTGCCCAGTTCGTTTTGTATCTGCCTGAGGTGCTCCCTGAGGACGGCCGGTTCCACCGATCTGTCCTGCACTTTGAGCTCGGCCTGGCGGATCCATGCCTGCACCTCGTCCACGTCGGCCAAGTAATCCGACCTGGTGGTCCTGGCACGTTTTTGCTCCCGCTGTTTCTCTTCCATCGCCTGTGCCGTCGCCTCGGCACAGAGCTCGAGCGCGGTCAGATGCTGGGCAACGTCACTCGGTACCAGCTGCTGGCTAGCTTGGTACCGCGCCTTAGTGCTTCCTGAGAACTTCTTCGCGGTGTCGACGAGGTCCTCGACCTGCGAGCGCAGCTCGCCCAGTTCCGCCTCGGTCGCGTCCTGATCGACCCCGTAAACGTATAGACCGGAGGCGCGTTCGCGCCCCTCGTTCAGTCGCTTCCGCAGCCGCTCGATCTCACGCTCGATGTTCTCGAGCGCCTCCAAGTCTTCGCTCGCCTTCTCGGACTTGCCACGAAGCGAGTCGACGAGTCTAAAAACGACGATGCAAACGGTGACTCTTTGCCTCGCGAGGCTCGTCGGACGTTTGTTCCAACGATTCAAGAGCGCCTCTTAAAACTACGCCTTTGCTGTATATATATATACATTGGATAAATGTACATACATTTGAACGTTTAAGGGAAGATTCTAAATTCAGTCGAAATTCAGTTATTGAACGTCATTAAAACTAAAGTATCCGATTTCCGATATTCTTTTTGCAGAAAGAGGAAGTTGAATACAAATTGCATAAATTATTGAAAGTAAAGGATTCGTCGAGTCCTTTATTTTAAAGTGGATGAAACATAGGGTAACGCGTTTGGAAGTGATTTCAACCGCCCGACCATGAAATTGCACACGGCATGTGTAAGTTCTTCGTGTGTCCCACAGAATAATGGCATCTGTCGCGAGAGAACAGAACGGTAGGAGGTGAACGCGCTGCACGCGCGAAACTCTCCATGGAAGAGAATTTCACGAAGCAATCGGTAGCCTTAAGCGATCGTCCGCGGCGAGGTGAGACGGATTTAGAATCGGTAATACGTGTCGCTGTGCTTCATCCACAGTTTGGCCCGGACCCAGGCAAAGTCGCGAGTCGGGGCAGCCTTGGCTAAAAGTAGACGAAGGAAGTATGTAGCGACGGGAGTTTGGCCGACCGTTCACGCTCGTGGAAGCGCGACGCGCATACTACGAAGACGACAACGATGATGCTGTAAGAGAAGTAACTGTCGTAAGAGAGTCTCTATGCGCGATTATTTATTCAACATCACGAAGTAATAATAGTCAACACCTCGAAATGAATTGTCACCGTTCTTTGAATGAACCCGTTTCGATCCGTTCTATATCATTTCTCTGTAAATATAATTTTTAATTTTAACTATCAAGAGAGAGGAATGTTTTCGTAGTAAATAGAAGTAGCGCGAGTCACACGATCGTCGCATTAGCTACCGGTTGTACCGTGCATAAGTCATGAGGAATAATTTAAACGTTGATGTCATCCACGAAGAACTCGTATGCTCTCATCGTCCTTTCGGAAGGAAAGCGTGTGATTTCGATGGCTACCGCGTTAAGACAATCTATTTTCACGAAGATGACAGCATGTTTCTGTCAGCGAGTACCCGCGGATGATTCGCGCGAGATGATAAATTTGAAACTGATTGCGTTTCCTCGTCTTCTTCTCCGTGGCCTATTCGTTATTAGTCGCAGCTTCATTAATCTACCTGCTACTTAGCGTAGCAGCTGAGTCCTACAGATTTCCTTTCTCTGCATTAATATCCTTGATAATAAACTAGCGAGCTCGGCCATTTCATCCCGTCATTCTCAAAAGACGTGGCCACTAAGATCCTCGATGTCAATGTCGACAACGGTGTATCTTTTCGTACGATGACATCATCGCGTCGAGCTGAACGAGATATATGATTGCCGGCCGGCAGGTGCAACACGCCCGAAATACAAATCACTGTTAATCCGGCGGAAATTTACCTGAGATAAAACGGATTAGCGCCGTGAATTGCGGAAATTTCGATCGTGCATTCCGCGATAATTCCACTTTACGTAACGTGAAACCTCCTCGCACGTGAAGCTCGATTATTCGAGTCCACCCGATGAATAGAATCTCGTTTCGTGCATCCTCTCGCTGTGGGTCCGCACAATAAATGAAAATTGCAATCAGTCGCTACGCGGAGCCTGAGGCAAATCAGCGTGTAACAAATTGCGTGTCTCGCGCAGCCCCGACTCGGATTCATCACATCGCGCAACGAGCTTTCCTCCCGAGAGCTCTATCAACATTCGCACGTGGCGAATCTATTTCCGACTTCGTGAGTTCGGGTGAGCCAAAGGATTATCCGTTCTCACGCGATCTCGTACAATTCGCGATATCATTTCGTCGATATCGCGCTGCTCCCGATCACGGAGCGCGTCTATCCGGCGCACGGATCGTCCTCAGGAATAAATCGCGCGGAAATCTCAGCAGCGACATTCAAACGAAAGCACTCTCAATATGCGTATCACGGCAACAAGCCGGCGATATATACCTATGTGTCACGGCTGTGGTAACCGCGCGCGATATATTCGCGATTGGCGACCGACGGTGAAGCGAGCGCGAACTTCCTCACTTTCTTCTCGTTTTCTCTCGTCTTATCCGCTCTCTCTCTCTCTCTCTCTTTTTAATCCTCGTTCTCGTGCTCCCGCGTTTATCCGGACAACAATATGGCGCGGCACTATCAAGCCAAACAGCAGCGTTCGCGGTTCGAAACGTTATTAGAGAGGAGTACTCGCAAGCTAGCTTTAGACGCTCTAGTCGGGCGCGTTGGCGAGACGCCGCGACGCATGCGGCCTGGTCCAGAGGCCGGCTCGGCCAGCCAAGAACGACATCCTAAGAATAATACGCCGCCGAAGATGTGAAGTCGATGGGACGCGAAGGATTCGAATTTTCTGCGGAGTGACTCTAAATAATAACGCGCGAAATATGCCGCATGAATTATATAGCAGATCCACGAGGGATCCTCATTCGCAAGCGCTTCCGGGTCTGACTTCATTTCATTTCGGTTTGTAGACGGTCCGTCCTTGATCAAAATTTAGCGCATAGAATCAAAACAATTGGTAGAATTAAAACAAAATTCATAGAGTAGAAGGTGGTAATATGAAACTGCTGATATCTTAAATAATTGCTGCAATTTCTTGGTTACTGAGAGAAACATAACTATTAGAGTCCTTATCGACCATAAGGGGCCACGTTGTTTATAGAGTTAAGAGAAGCCGCTTTACTTCCTTCTTGTTAAAACTTTTCACAAGGTAAGATTAAAAAGTGTTCTTCTTGTCTTAATCTATAAATGTAATATATTAACTATAATGTTAAACTGATTATCCGCGAGACAATCCGTCGATTGTCCGTGCCGATAATAAAATCGAAATTGCAGAGTTAGTTATTTGGAAATATTTTTCCTACTTTAAGATTTGTTGGTTTACTTGGAAAATAACGAAAAGTAGTAATGTGAAACGAGATGCGTGTTTCGTATTATCATATACAGTAAGCGTGAAAGTAATATTTTTATTTATAACTTTTGTTCATAGACCTAAAAAAAGATTTCTATATAATTTGAATTATTCAGATTAACTTTCATAGAAAATTTTTTTATTTTAATTTTTAACTTATAATTTTTATTTTCAAAGGAATTTAATAAAAAAGTTATGTTGACGTTAACAATTTTATAATAACAAAAATTAATCTTTTTTATTTTCACGCATATTTTATTTACCCCGCCATTTTCCAAGATCCTACTTCTTGCATTATGTTAAGGAAATTTTTGCTTCTCCTACTTCTTTTTTCCTAATAATTATGAATACATTACAAAATATATATTTTTTAACATTTTTGATAATTGATGCAATTATTGTATTTAATATTGGCTTTTTGAAGCAAAAAATCTGTGAATAAATGATCCATATTTCCACCTCCTCTACTTATTCGTATCGACTGATTCGAGACAATAGGCTTTCATTGTGCCCTTCTTATCTTATCTCAACTGTACGCTGCGCTTAAACAAACTCCATGACTATCGCGATGTAATGACAGTCGTGCAATAAATGCGTAAATCGATTAAAAATCACGGCCGAGATTACGCGCGTCTGCACCACCACGGGCGAAACCGCCTGGGAAAATTAATTGCCGGCATGCTGAACGGCGTGAAATGAAATGTCGATCGTCGTACTTTGAGAGAGAACTGATTACGAGGAACGGATCCTTGACTGTGTGTGTTGGCGAGCCGAGTTTCACATTTGTTTCTCTTGGTCGGCGGAAAATCATTTATCAGATATATTCACGCGCGACGGTTTTCACAAATCACTCGGCGAAGTAAGGGACTTATATGCGCTGACAAGACGAGAAAACTTGTCAGAGTCGCGTGCCGACTGTTACAGCATACTGTGTTACGTCATGTATTGCAGACTGGACGTCAACACGCGTGGCTTTATTCGCGGAGTATGTGTCATAGGCAGAACGCGGTGTCACAATGCCGAGTCGAAAAGGGCGCTAACGTGCAACGCTCGTTTCCGACTTCGAACCTATAATTAGCGTACATTCGATCGGCGCCGAATGTATCTATCGGCCAACGAACCGCGTGTTGATGACAGTGACATTACGATGCGACATCACCGCCGTACGTGGTGACCGACAAGACCAGAGTATGTACGCATGACAGAACCTATTGAAACTCGCAAACTGCTGGGCTCCTTATCAATTCGCGCGATATATAAAATGATATCTATGAGATAACAAGCTGCTCGTTACCGTCCGAGATGATAAAACGTTTTCAACTAGAATTTATCTGTAATGCAACATGCGGCACACGTGTGTCGATATCGCGATAGTGAACTTCGTTGCGCCCTACGCGCATGCGAGGCCACGTACGCTGTATATACCGGAGGAGACGACCACGTTTGCGCCATGAGCGAGATGCGGTATTTCGCAAGTTTAAGCAATACGTCGCCTCGGTGAATTCGCGACCGTGGCATCAAATGTTTTCCGTGAATATTCCCCAGTCGAAGCGAGCACCCCGTTTTCTCATTCTCTTCCCTTCTCACTTCCCTTCGACTTTCGCGGAAACGGGCAAATCCCGACTAGGTAAGTATCGTACCTCGGGAGAGCGTGTCTCCCAAAGTGCAGGCTCATTTCTGTCGTCTCAAAAATCAGTGTCCAACGCGGTGCCTCCGCGTACACGGTTTGCGTTCCGCGTGCAAATAATAATTACAGCAGACTCGCACTGACAGCGCAACACACGCGGGGACAGGTGAAAATACGCGAGACGTCATGCTCGACGACGAGCCGTCGCCGTCTCCGTCACCTGGCCAAGTGTCAAAACGCGCGTAGCACTCGACGTCGCGTACCCGCGTAATCTGTTCGCGACACTCAACTGCGTTTCACCGGCATCGGTGCATCGGTTACAAGAGATGCGCTGGGATGCAACGGGATGCGACTCGTGAACGTCGTGAGCGACGCGCCGTCGATGCCGGCACGGAGATGACTGGATAAACCGGTGTATCGCCGATATACCGGGCGACGAAAAGTATGGTAGGGGCACGCGTTTCTCCCCGTGGACGCGTATTGACCTTCCCACCTCGGCCGCAACCTTCTCTCATAACGAGTGTTTACACGGTGTTACACGGCCACGTTACGTCACACGACGGATTCGGTGGTGACGTAGCGCGCGGCATATAATAAGGCGGGTCGATGAATACGACGGCGCGATCTCGCGTTTAAATGTGCGTCGTGTGCACATGTGCTTTAATTCCCGGCTGTGTCGAAAGTAACGCACTTATCATGCGCGCGATTCAATTACGCATTCGTGATTCTTATCTGAAATTACTACGAGAGTCCAGAGGCAAGAGAGATAATTCGCCAGAGAGGCGGCCTCGAAATATCCCGTAGAGGTAATTGCACATGCTATATACGCACGTCTACGAGTTATTTATATTCTCTCCTACGATATATATATATATATATATATATATATATATATATATGTATGCATGTATGTATATACATATATATACACACACACTCAGTTTTGCTCGTGTGTGTGGCGCCAGACGCATTACGTCGCATTGCATTCGAACTTGGACCAGTATTCGCATTGCGCCATCATTATCATTGTCGATTCAATCTTCTTGCAAATTTACAGTTGCATTGTTTAGCCGCGAGCTGGAGAAGCGCGACTGTTGCAAATCGATGCGGCCTTATTAATTCGTTGAATTATGTATTTATCGCGGTTATTGTACATCAACGTTGAATATAATGAACGAGATGATCACGTGATTCGAAATGTAAATTCACCTTGAAAACTTTCACGAAATCGTTCTTCACTGTCATCCCTTCACACTCGGAAAGTTCAGTTTTGTGAAATAATCCTCTAATAAATTGCTATAGTCTCTTTCTCTACGATCTCACTGTACTGCGTATTATGAGCGCTTTGCTATCCTCGCTCATTCGCGAACTCTTCTTGCCACTGACTTTGTGACTAAAAGGTCGATCGCTCGTGCTATAATTTGGCAAAGAGTTGAATGACGACGCGACGTAGTGGGATAATACCGTCGAAAGGTATTACCTTTGCCAAAGTCGCGTCACAATTGCGCGCCCATTGTTGATTTTCTTGCTGATTAAAGTATAAAAAATTCATACGTACAATCTTCCGTTAAACGTATATAGTACGTTAATCTTCCGTTAAACGTACTTTGCGAACGATTAAAAGACACAAACATAGATCTGCATTGAGCACATAATACATTTTTAACTTATACGATATCTAATAAAATGATACGATCACCTGAAAGAAATGCTATAAAAGTGACGCTTACATCGATAAAAATATAGAAAACGTCGAGCTGCTGAAATAAAAAAATGTCGTAAGAGGAAAAGGGAGAGGTATATAAGCGAAAGCATCAGATGCACATTTATGCATGCACATGCAAATCTGCTCACAGGAGGACCCGTATGGCACCGTCATTGCCAGCCAAAAGACTGCGAACTACTTTCCTATATAAAATAACGCTTGAAATATAGTACACGAAGTTTAATAAAAAAAGAAGCGCCTCATAACTAAGATTCCATCTAAACGTCACGGATGAAAAGATATCGAGTTTGTTCCGGATATTAATAGCGAAAGCGCGTATCCTCGATATTGCAATTAAGTTTACAACGTTCACGTCTTCTCAGGAAGCCTCAGTGCGACATTAAAAATCTAAACTGTAATAAACGAGATGTTGTTATTATATTTTTTCCTATAATAATATACCAACGCATAAAATCGATATTATATATATCCTAACAAATATTAAAGTTATTTATATATAAATGCGATATTTTTTTGTAAAGAAAGATTATAAAAAAAGATATTTATAATTATAATATTAAAGGTCTCTCTTTTTATATATCTCGTCATTGGGAGGTCTTTGGAACTCGATAATAATGCTGGTAGCTCGATCAAATATGTCGTTTCACATAAAAATGGACGATTATTGGCTGACTTAGCTGGCGGCAAATGATACGAGGCGGTGCTGGTCCATTGAGCAGATACGAAAACAAAAAAATGCACTCTGACTCACGATTCGGCGGACTTCTGCAGCTTCTCGAGACGTTCCTCAAGACTTCGCGCTGGCGCCTCCGTAAACGCTGCGAGATACGCCAGGACAGGTCCCGCCAAGCTCTTCACTTCCTCTGTCGCGGGTTTGAGCTTCTCAGCATCCGCCACGAGTTCCTATCCGTGACAGAACCAGAGTGCCCGTTAATCGTCTCTGACGATAAATCCGCACGGTGTGCGCTCGCGCGAATCATCGTCGCGCATTTTATAATTTAACAGACACTACGTCCTTAACAATAAACAACGACAATTGTTTCGCCGAATAAAACAAAAATAAATCAAACAAAAGTAAAGTAAGTCACGTAAAAGGTAGAATGGATAGACCGCCAAGCTCTGCGCGAGCGTCCGTCGTGGCATGATTATTCGCGAGTGACTAAAGTAGTTCGTAGGTTTGGAGGGCCGCGCACCTGTGGTGCCTGGCCGTGCAAGTCTGACACATTCGGCATTTATAAAGGGCGGGCCGGAAAGAGAGAAAGACAGAACTAATTGTATATCCGTACCCTTGGCGGGCTCGGTGAATCGATCGAGGAGCGTACATCCGCGTAGTATGCGACGTCGCATAGCCACTTGACGGCCGAAAAAAAGTTCGTCTCGCGTGACATACTTTATGCACTTTCTATTATTACACGAAGTTTTATATTTATGTGCATGTGGATAATAACCGTGGAGCACGCTTAGCCTGATTTTCCAGTTTCCTACATCTTCCACTATTTTTACACGGCCGATTTAGGTCCTCGGGACAGAGAAAGTATTTTTATACTGATCACGGCATTGGTCTGTCATATATGATAAACGCGCGCAAATTGCTCTTCCGTCGAAAGTATTAAAATCGCGTACGTTACACGGCAAGCGTCATCTTACCTCCAATGCTTTAACGGTGTCATGCAAATGCTGCTTCGAGCGCACCACTGTGTCGATGAGCTTGCTCTTCTCCTCGATCGCATTCAATCGCGTCTCGATGAGCGCCCACTGTGCCTCCAGGTCCTCCCAATGTCGTGAGAGCGACTCCAGGGCATCCCTGCGTCCTTCGAGACCCGATACCAACTCGCGCCATTCCGAACTAATCTCGGAGAGCTGCGATTCTATTGCTTTCTTGTTGTTGGCGTCTGCAAGCCGAAGAACCTCTCCCCCACGTTCGTTGAGAAGATCCAATTCGAATTGTTGATTCTACGAGACGTACATAATTCGTAATAATTAATATTATTGTGTATTTTTTCATACCTGATACAAACACTTCAGCAAATAAAAGACTTTGATTAATTATTGTAATATATTGTAATATATCGCAGTAAAGAAAAATGTCTCACGCCAATTTGTAAGAAAAGTAGGAGAAGAATTGATCTGGTATCTCTCTTTGCTGCTTTCTCCAACATACCTGGATGTCGTTGAGAGCGTGCGTGATCTTCTGAATGTTGAATTGCAAGCCGGCTAATGTGGTGACTGGTTCATCCGTGAATCTAGTTCTGCTGATGACGGCGCGAACACGCTCTAGACTCTGCGTGTAGTCCCTCCACATCTCCGCACCTTGCTCCAAACGCGAGCGTTGCGATTTGGCCGTGTTGAGAGTGTTCTTTAGCAACTGAGTATGCTGTTGTTGTTGTGCGCTCAGTTCCTCTTGCTCGTAACTATCCAAAGATGGCCAGATCTTGTCAGCCGCTTGTTGAATCTGCTGCGACACAAGCTCGCGAATCGATGGTTCGGTGCTGAAGTAGATCTGGAAAGACGATAATTGTTAGCGTTGCTGGTCAAGCCAATCTTCGTGGAAAGTTCGTCAGCTTGAGACAAACTGTCGAAAGTAAAAGAAAAAACGAAAAATCTCTCACCTTGTGCTCCTCCAGATCACTAAGGATGTTCTCGAAGTCCAGACCTTCCTTGTTACTCTCAAGTCGAATTTCAGCCTCGCGAGCCCAGCTGTGGAGTTTATCCGTAAGAGCAGCATAATCCAGTCTCATCTGCATGTTACTCTCGAGATAATTTCCGCGTTCTTCCATCTCTCGCGGTAAGGACGTCAGCAAGGACACTGCTTCACTCAACATCTCCTTCAAGGATCCGGGCATACCCTCCTCATGTCGCACGGATTCCTTCAGTTTCCTGATCCGATCGAGATGCTCGTTCACGTCGGCGCAAAGGGCATGGTGTTTTGTCAATTCCGCCTCGACACTCGTCGGATCTCTCTCCAGGAGCGGCCTAGACTTTACTTCCTTCTCCTTGCTTTCAAGCCAGTCAAGAATATCAGCCAGTTCATTAGCGAGTCTCCTGTGCTCGGCCGCCGCCAACTCGTGTTGCTCCCTTTGCGTCTCCACCGCTCTCCGGAGGGCTTGTAATTGCTGCTTTAACGACTGCAGCTGATCCGTCACGTTATTCCTGTCCACGACCGAACCTTCCGCCGCAATTTGTTGGCCTTTGTCGGTCGCGCTGGCGAGAGTGGCTTCGCACTCTTGAATTTTCAATATAGCGTCGTCGTACCTATTCGTGGTCAAATCGATGATATTATTGTGAACAATTATTGAAAAAAGCTTATATATATATATATATAGGGTGTCTCACACTCTCCTCCGGGCATTTTGTGGGAACGTAGAACAGGTTGCGGTGAACATAAAAGTCCTATACCGTTTTGCGATATTCGCAATAATCGAAATATTAATTATAGAAAATTTGTGAATGATCATGCAGAATATGATAAATGAGTTAGTATAGTTATAACGACGACTGCCGTCGTGTACTTATATTTTAGATCAAATTGAACAAAAAAGTTCTTTACCATTTTCCAAATAATCACATAGATTTTTAATTATTAATTAAAGAAGATGAGTGCATTATCACGCAAAACCGTGCAATAATCTTCTTTAATTTATAATTAAAAATCTATGTGATTATTTGGAAAATGGTAGAGGACTTTTTTGTTCAATTTGACTTAAAGTATAAGTATACGACGGCAGTCGTCGCTATTATAACTCATTTACCATATCCTGCATGATCATTCACAAATTTTCTACAATTAATATCTCGATAATTATTGCGAATATCGCAAAACGGTATAGGACTTTTATGTTCACCGCAACCTGTTTTATGTTCTCACAAAATGCCCGGAGGATAGTGTG